ATGCTGAGAAAAATGTATATTCTTTTCTGTTTGGATGGAATATTCTATAGATGTCTGTTAAGTCCATTTGATTCATAATATCTGCTAGTTCTCTTATTTCTCTGTTCATTTTTGTCTGACTTACCTGTCTAGTGGTAAGAGGGGAGTGTTGAAGTCTCCCACTATTAGTGTGTGTGGGGGCTTAATATATGATTTAAGCTTTAGAAGTATTTCTTTGACATATGAGGGTACCTTTGTATTAGGGCATAGATGTTCAGTATTGAAATTTCCTCTTGATGGATTTTCCCTGTGACTAATATGAAATGTCCTTCTTTGTCTCTTTTGACTGATTTTAGCTTGAAATCTATTTTGTTTTTTTTTAAATTATTTATTTATTATGTATACAATATTCTTCCTGCAAGCCAGAAGAGGGCACCAGACCTCATTACAGATGGTTGTGAGCCACCATGTGGTTGCTGGGAATTGAACTCAGGACCTTCGGAAGAGCAGGCAATGCTCTTAACCACTGAGCCATCTCTCCAGCCCCCTGAAGTCTATTTTGTTAGATATTAGGATGCTACACCTGCTTGTTTCTTAGGTACTTTTGATTGGTATATTTTCCCCAACCCTTTACTCTGAGACGGATGTCTATCTTTGAGGTTGAGATGCATTTTTTGTATGCAGAAGGATGGATTCTGTTTTCGTATCCAATCTGTTAGCCTGTTCCTTTTTATAGGTGAGTTGATTCCCTTTACATTAGGGGATATTAATGACTAGTGGTTGCTATCTCCTCTTAATTTAGTTTTCATTGTTGGTGATGTTAATTTGCGCTATTTTTTTCTTCTTTGGGATTTGCTGTAATGAGATCATCAATTGTCTGTGTTTTTTTTGGTGTAGCCATCTTCCTTGGGTTGGAGTTTTCCTTCTATTATTTTGTGTAGGGCTGGGTTTGTGGCTAGGTATTGGTGAAATCTAGATTTGTCATGGAATATCTTGTTTTGTCCTTCTATGGTGATCAATAGTTTTTCTGGGTATAGTAGTCTGGGCTGGCATCTGTGGTCTCTTAATGTCTGCATAATGCTTGAGAATGACCTTCTGGCTTTCATTGTCTCCAATGAGAAGTCAGATGTAATTCTGATAGGTCTACCTTTATATGTTACTTGGCCTTTTTCCTTTGCAGCTCTTAATATTCTTTCTTTACTCTGTATGTTTAGTGTTTTGATTATTATGTGGTGAAAGGACTTTTTTTTGTGTGTCTAGTCTGTTTGGTGTTCTGTAAGCTTCTTGTATCTTCATAGGCATATCTTTCTTTAGGTAGGGAAAGTTTCCTTCTATGATTTTATTAAATAAATTTTCTGTGCCTTTGAGTTGAACTTCTCCTTCTTCTATACCTATTATTCTAAGATTTGGCCTTTTCACGGTGTCCCATATTTCATGGATATTTTGGGTTAAGCTTTTGTTAGATTTAATGTTTTCTTTGATTGATGAGTCTATTTCCTCTATTGTATCTTCAGTGCTTGAGATTCTCTCTTCCATCTCTTGTGTTCTGCTGTTCATGCTTATGTTTGTGGTTCCTGTTCTTTTTCTCATTTCTGTTTCTATAATTCCTTTCGCTTGTGTTTTCTTTATTTTTTCCATCTCAGTTTTCAAGTCCTGAATAGTTTCTTTTATATGTCTGAGTTCTTTTTCTTGGTTTTCTTTAAGTGATTTGCTGATATCTTCCAATTTTTTGTTTTTTCCTCCATTTCTTTAAGGTAATTTCTCATTTCATCTTTAAGAATTTCAGCTGGGCGGTGGTGGCGCACGCCTTTAATCCCTTTATTCGGGAGGCAGAGGCAGGCGGATCTCTGTGAGTTCGAGACCAGCCTGGTCTACAAGAGCTAGTTCCAGGGCTGGAGAGATGGCTCAGTGGTTAAGAGCATTGCCTGCTCTTCCAAAGGTCCTGAGTTCAATTACCAGCAACCACATGGTGGCTCACAACCATCTGTAATGAGGTCTGGTGCCCTCCTTTGGCCTGCAGACATACATGCAGACAGAATATTGTATACATAATAAATAAATAAATAAATATTTTAAAAAAAAAAGAGCTAGTTCCAGGACAGGCTCCAAAACCACAGAGAAACCCTGTCTCGAAAAAAAAAAAAAAAAAGAATTTCAAACATTCTCTTGAGGTTATTTTCTAGATCATTTTCTTCTGGTTCATCCATATTTGGTTGTTCAGGTCTTGCTTTTGTAGGGTCTTTAGGTTTTACCGATATTGTGTTGCTCTTTGTGGTGTAGCATGTGATCTTACCTTTTCTACTCATCTTTTCCTCTAATAGGTGTGGGTGGGGCTGTCTGAGATTCTGTTGAATAATCTTCTAGGTGCTAGTGAATCCAAAGCTCAGATGGTTGTTCCTCGTGGTACAGTCAGTGTCACAGTTCTAGTTACCCCATTGGTTATTCCTGTTCCTGGAGATAGCTCAGTGCTCCTGTGCTTTGGTCAGCTCCCTTGGAGTTTGCTGTATCAGGCCTACTTTGGCCTAGGCTGATGGCTTTGATCTCTCTGTTTCTGTAAATCTTGGTCTGGATCTTCTCCTGCAGAAGTCCCTGGCTTGGAGTTGGACCTGTTCTGGTGGAGATCAGCTGACTCTGGATCTGGTTGCTGGCTTAGTCCTGATCCGCCAGTGTTCTGAGACTGGGTTGGCTCCCAGGACTGGATTTGTTCCTGGCTTCTGCTCCCGGTGGAGCTTGTTTCTTCAGGCTCTGTCTGTCTTAGGAGTCGGGATTTCTTTTAAGTGCCTTTTTTTAAAAAAAAAAAAAAAAACGCATCTCTTAATCCTTCCTACTGGGGACCAAGTATTCAAACCTAGGAGCCTCTTGGGGGCTAGTCTCATTCAAGCTGCCACACTTGACTTTTAAAAAATTAAAGATTACACTTATATATGTGTGTTTCTAGCTTTGAACTGAGGTCATCAAACTTAGTAGCAAGTATGTTTATCTTCAAGTTATCCTATTATCTTAGGTCTGGTTGCTTTCTTTTTTTCTTTTCTTTTTTAATATTTATTTATTTATTAAGTATACAGTATTCTGTCTGCTTGTATGCCTACAGGCCAGAAGAGGGCACCAGACCTCATTACAGATGGTTGTGAGCCACCATGTGGTTGCTGGGAATTGAACTCAGGACCTTTGGAAGAGCAGGCACTGCTCTTAACCTCTGAGCCATCTCTCCAGCCCCTGGTTGCTTTCTTTAAATTAAAAAATGTTATCTCAAGGTCCAAATCAGGAGTAGAAGGAGAGGGAGCACGAGCAAGGAACTCAGGACCGCGAGGGGTACACCCACACACTGAGACAATGGGGATGTTCTATCGGGAGTTCACCAAGGCCAGCTGGCCTGGGTCTGAAAAAGCCTGGGATAAAACCGGACTTGCTGAACATAGCAGATAATGAGGACTACTGAGAACTCAAGAACAATGGCAATGGGTTTTTGATCCTACTGCACATACTGGCTTTGGAGGAGCCTAGGCAGTTTGGATGCTCACCTTACTAAACCTGGATGGAGGTGGGCGGTCCTTGGACTTCCCACAGGTCAGGGAACCCTGATTGCTCTTCGGGCTGATGAGGGAGAGGGACTTGATCGGGGGAGGGGGAGGGAAATGGGAGGCGGTGGCGGGGAGGAGGCAGAAATCCTTAATAAATAAATAAATTTTAAAAAAAATAAAAAATAAATAAAAAATAAAAAATGTTTCATACATCTGAATGATTCGCCTGTATGTATGTCTGCGTATCACATGTGTGCCTGGTACCTGTGGAGGCCAGAGAGGACATCAGATCCTCTGGAACTGGAGTTAACAATAGTTGTGAGCAGTCATGTAGGTGCTGGGAATGGAATCTGGGTCCTCTGGAACAGCAAGCGCTCTTAACTACTGAGCCATCTCTCCAGTCCCAGCTTTAAATTAAAAACAAAGCTATTTGATTACTGAGGAAAAGAATTCAGACAGTGGTGGTGGCAGGGGTGGCGCACCCCTTTAATCCCAGCAGTCAGGAGGCAGAGGCAGGGGGATCTCTGAGTTAGAAATCAGCCTGGTCTACAAAGAGTCCAAGACATCCAGCCCGGGAAACCCTGTTTGGTGGGGCGGGAGCATTACCAGATTGGAGAGATGGTTCAGCAGTTAAGAGTCCTTGCTGTTCTTCCAGAGGACCTGAGTTAGGTTTGGTGATCCAGTCCCATCTTTGGCCCTGGGGACAGTACATGCATAACTGAAGAGGGCACTAGATCCCCTGGAATTATAGTTACAGATTGGGTATGAGGCTATGTGGGTGCTGGGAATTTGAACCTGGGTCCTCTAGAAGAGAAGTCAATGCTCTTAACCACTGAGCAATCTCTCCAGTCCCAGTTAAATTATTTGAAAACATCTGGTCTGTTCAAGGCCAGCCTGGTCCACACGGTGAGACCCTGTCTCAAAAGAAACAAAACAAAAAAATTCAATGAGATAGAATACTCAAATTACAAAACTTTAAAGTAAGATTAAGACAATGAGTGCTCCCAAAAGGCAGATGAAATTTATTAATCAATCATATAATTAACACAGTATTTGATATAATAGTAGCTATATTAATTGACATAATTAATAATTGTAATTATTATTAGTTTTCACTTGGTCCCATTTCATCTATATAACCAGATATTTCTCTACAATTATTTTGTGAAATTAATAACTTATGGTTTATGACATCTTTATTGTAGCGCCTGTACTATGGGATGGTAGGTGAACTGGGAACTAAGCTGGAGACTTAAAAACACATGCACACAGACAGTGACACGGGGGACCCGAGTCATCTCTGATACAAAAATGCCAAGAATGGCTGGGCGGTGGTGGCGCACGCCTTTAATCCCTTCATTCGGGAGGCAGAGGCAGGCGGATCTCTGGGAGTTCGAGCCCAGCCTGGTCTACAAGAGCTAGTTCCAGGACAGGCTCCAAAGCTACAGAGAAACCCTGTCTCAAAAAACCAAAAAAAAAAAAAAAAAAAAAAAACCCAAAACAAAAAAAAATGCCAAGAATGCCCACTTTATTGTGCTCAGGGGCAGCTTATATTGGGCTCTGACCATGCCCCCAGCTCTTGGTATCTTTCAACTGCAGCACCACCAGCCTGCCAACAGGGTCTCGTGCTCAAAGCAGAGGAAAACAAGTTGTTTACAAGAAATTCAGCAGCCAACATTTTATAACGCACACATTTTTAGGTTCATAATTGATATTTAGACTGGGTGATTGTACTGGTACATTCCTTTAATCCCAGAATTTGGGTGGCAGAGGCAAGCAGGTCTCTGAGTTCAAGGTCAGCCTGGTTGACAGAGTAGTGTTCCAGGCCAGCTAGGGCTCTGCAGAGAATCCCTGTCTTGATAAACAAAACAACCACATTTGTTATTTAAATATTTATTAGTGTGGGATTCCATTTGCTAAAAGCTTAGCTCAAAATCATCTAAAAAGTCCCTGAGAAGAGAACGTACTATTGAAGATGGGTGAAGTCTCAGTAAGCATACCCAGACTCAACAGGCACTAGCTGCAGGCTCCCACGTTCCCCTCCCTTACACCAGGGAAAGGAAGGAAGTCCAGGCTCTTCAGCTTGGCCTCAGCCTTAGCAGTAAACTCCTGGGTGGCTTTCTGCAGAGGAAGCCGGGGTGGGCCCATTGGAATCCCAGAGACCAGCGTCATGATGGCTTTGGTCTGTGACACTCCAAAACCTAGATGGGGGAAAATAAAGAGTGAAACATATCTGGTACCGCCCACTTTCCCACAAACATCCCCCCCCCCCCCGCCAAAAAAATGGCTATATGCCAAAGTAAGTACTACAATAAGAGAATAGTAAACATAAAAGAACTTTTGTCAGTTTGACTGAGCTGGGCATGGTAGCACACACCTTAATTCCAGTATTGGGGAGATGGAGGCTAGAGAATCAAGAGTTCAAGGTCAGTCTGGGCTGCCTGAGACCCTGAAGCCTCTGTGGGTACTGCACTCAGATGCAAATATCCACACTCAATCTCCCCTCCCCCCCCCAATATACAACTAAAAAATGAAATGCAACCTTTTTGACAAAGAAATCATTCTTTTTGGGCCCATGAGATGGCTCAGTCGGTCAAGGCACTTGCAGCCAAACCTGAGGGCTGAAGTTCAACCCCTGGAATGTCTGCAAGTTTCCTTCTGACTTCCACACTCATGCTGTGATGTGAGCATGCTCGTATACAAAGGAATGAATGGATATTAAAATAAATTCTGCTTGCTTGTACTAACAAATTAACAAACTATGAAACAAAGAGAGGCTGGGAGTGTAGCTCTATGGTAGAATGTTTGCTTAGTATAAGAGTCCTTGGGTTCAAATTCCTGAATTTGAACAGTAAGTAAACAAACAAACTAAATAAAACAATACAAAGAGTCAAGGTTGGAGCCTGCAGTATAGGCTCAGCCTGTAAAGGCAGATGCGGCCAAGCCATCCAGGTTCAATCCCCAGGACCCACATGGTGGAGGAGAGGACTGATTCCCTCAAGTTGGCCTCTGACCTCCACATATGGGGCTATGTAAGTTCACACATATATTTGAAATAAATAAATCAAATGAAAAACAAACAACCCCAAACAAATACAAAACCTACAGAGTCAAAATCAACCTTGAGCAAGAAGGAGGCAAGCTTGGTGGAACAAACACATTGATAATCCCAGCATTTAGGAGGTGGAGCTGAGGGCCAAGAGTTCAAGGTGGGTGCATAGGTTGGCTCAGTGGTTAAGAGCATTGGCTGCTCTTTCAGAAGACCTGGGTTCAATTTCCAGTTCCCACATGGCAGCTCACAACTCTTCATAACCCCAGAGGACCCAACACCCACTTCTGGCCTCCTGGGGTACCAGACACATGAGATACACAGACATATATGTAGCAGAACGCTCTTACACATAAAATAGACATAAGAATAAATTTAAAATAAATAATAAAGCTGACTTAAAAAAAAAAAGGGTTTAAGGTAGATGATTCCTGAAGCTCATGGGCCAGCAAGTGAGCTAAATCAATAGCATTCAGACTTGGTGACCGTGTCTCAACAAATAAAAGTGGAGAACTGTCAGTCCTAATGGGACGTCTTCATCATACCGCTCTACTCAGGGCTCAGGGAACTATGGGGAACAGGAGGAGGAACAATCCCAAGAGGCAGAAGGGATGGTGGTGCCGAGGAAGCAGGGTTCTCCAGACACAGCGGGTCTGATGCACATTTGAACTCAGAGGCTTGTGGCAGCCTGCAGAGGCCTGACGGGGGAACTGTCAGCCAATGATCTTTAAGGGGTTGGACCAGGCGAGGGCATGACCTTATGGGTACCCAGAGAAAACTGCGGCCAGCCCAGGGTTTTCTCTCTCTGGTTCCCATACTACACAGCTGAGGTTGGACTTCTCTCGCACTCCTGTTTCCTGAGTTTGCCCCTTATAACAAAGAACAGCCAGTGCTCTTAACTGCTGAGTCATCTCTCCAGCCTTGAAGGTTGGCTTTCTAAAGAAAGAGAAATCAATCAGGCAGTAGTGGTGCTCACCCTTGATCGCAGGATTAGGAGGCAGAGGCAAACGGATCTCTGAGTTCCAGGACACCCTGGTCTATTGAGTGAGTTCTAGGACAGCCAGGGATACATAGAGAAATGCTGTCTCAGAAAAAAAGAAAGAAGAAAGAAAAAAAGAAAGAAAAGAAGGACAAGAAAAGAGAAAAGTGGAGGAAGATACCTGACATTGGCAATACCCACTCTCACACGTACATATCTATAGACACAGACAACGGGACATCCTGATAGCCCCGGCCTTGGCCACAAGTGAAGGCTCAACCCAAGTTTGCATCACTCAGTGTTTTAGGCTCCAGACTCAGACACTGGAGCTAGTGGGACTAAAGAGTTCTAGCAGGAGCAAACGGAAATCCACTCACAGAGGCACCTCGCAGCTCTTCAGCTGCTTCCTCAGAGGACCCTGGTCTCTGAAGGAATTTGGAGCTCAATGTTACAAAGCACACAATGAGAAGGAGTAGCAGAAGAGCCAGCAAAGGTGCAGGTGACACAATTAACATCCTGAGAAGACAGCACATTCGGAAGGATTTTATGAGGATAAAGCAAGAGAAGTCACACACCATGGGAAAGATTCGGAGAAAAGGAACAGACACATTTGTTTTTCAAAGGAAAGTAGAAATACTAAATACAGGCTGGAAAAGTAGCTCATTTGGTAGTGTGCTTGTCTGGCATGCATGAAACCATAGGTGTAATCCCCAGTACTGCATAAACTGGTAACGGTGTCTGTACCTATCACCCTAATAGTTAGACGGTACATAACAGTGTCTATACCTATCACCCCAATAGTCAGAAGGTCTGCTGTTGACTATATACATATATGTGGGCAGGAGAGGGGGCTCAGTGGTTAAGAGCATGTACTGCTCTCGCAGAGGACCAGTCCAGTTCTCAGCACCGAGGCTATGGGGCTCACACATCCAGACTGGTAAGTCCAGCTCTGGGGAATTTGACATGATTTTCTGGCCTCCTCAGACATCTACAAGCATGTGCTCAGATATACACAAATACATATAAAATAAAATAAAAAAATAAAGCAAAAAATGTTTAAAAATGTATGTATCATCTTGTTTTTGCTTTGAGTCGGGCGGGGGCGGGGTCTTGCTATTTAGTTTTTACTGGCTTGACATTTGGTATATATATATATATATATGTGTGTGTGTGTGTGTGTATGTTAGCCTTAATCTACAACAATCCTCCTGCCTCAGTTCCTCAAGTGCTGTTGAGAATATAGGAATGTTCTCTTTCTCTCTTCTAGCTTTTTTTTTTTTTTGTTTTTCATGGCAGGGTTTTCTGTGAAACACTCCTGGCTGTCCTGGAACTCACTCTGTAGACCAGGCTGGTCTCAAACTCACAGAGATCCACCTGCCTCTGCCTCCCGAGTGCTGGGATTAAAGATGCCACCGCAGCCCAGCTCTCTTCTAGTTTTTAATCTAACTTTATTTATTTTTTATTTTTTGGTTTGTCGAGACAGGGTTTCTCAGTAGCTATGGAACCAGTCCTGGAACTTGCTCTGTAGACCAGGCTGGCCTCAAACTCACAGAGATCCACCTGCCTCTGCCTCCTGAGTGCTGGGATTAAAGAAAGGCATGTGTCACCACTGCCCGGCACAAGGAATGTTCTTAAGCAGTGATCCATCACTCCGTCCTTTTAACTCCCCCCACCTTTTTCAAAATTTAGATTTTATTCTATGCATATGGATGTTTTGCCTGCATATTTGATTGTGTACCACACGAGTGCCTAGTGCCTGTAGGGGGCACAAGAGTGTGCCAGGTCACCTGGAACTGGAGTTAGCATGGTTGTGAGTCACCTTGTGGGTACTTGGAAATTGCACTTTGAAAGGACAGCCAGTGCTCTTAACTACTGAACCATCTCTCCAGCCCGTAAAATCCTTCCAGAGATCGGGTCTAGCTATATATCCCTGGCTGTCCTGAATCATGTAGACCAGTTGGCCTGGAACTTGTAGAAATCCTCTTGCCACCAATTCTTTGGGGCTGGTATTACACGCATGTGCTACTATACTCAACTATAGGTATTTTATATTTCATTTATTTATTTTGGCAGATTATAGTCCAGGTGGCCTTAATAAGAATGACCTTGATGTTGGTCCTCCTGCCTTCACTACTCGAGTGCTGGAATTACAGACATGTACTACTATGCCTTCTTTACCAGTTAATTTTTTATCTTTTTAAAAAAGTTTTTAATGATTTATTTATTATGCATACAGTATTCTACCTGCATGGATGCCTGCCCGCCAGAAAAGGGCACCAGATCTCATTACAGATGGTTGTGAGCCACCATGCAGTTGCTGGAAATTGAACTCAGGACCTCTGGAAGAACAGCCAGTGCTCTTAACCTCTGAGTCTTGCCAGGCCCCTAATTTTCTATCTTGATGTACTCTAGAAACAAGTAATTATTGTATTGAAATCATAATCTTTGTGGAAAGTACTGGTTAGGGCAAAGGAATAATAATGATATTCAACAAAACTAGAGGTATCCCACTATGACAGCGTCACCGGACAGGTAACCGAAGTGTGAAAGCAAAAAGAAACACTGTCTCAAAGGGATGGAGAAGGCTAGCTGAAACTGTGGGAATGAGACCAAGTAGACAATAGGTGCTGGGCAGAGGAGAGAGTTGCTACAGCAAGGCAGAAAGGCTCTGAAAGGGAGGTGGGAGGTTGGCCAAGAACACACTGAGCACTGGCCTTGACCCACGTCCAGCTGTCCCCAAGGCAGCGCCTGTCCTTGGCTGCAGTGAGTTAAGACACCTCTCAGAGGTTCCTCTGCTCAGACTCTGTTTCTCCCTAACTTCCCTTTGTCATCCAAACCCCCATCCGTTTAAATTTACTTGCTTTAATAAACTCATTTTACATTTCACAAACGCGGGGGAACTGTCGGTCATTCGTCATTTCGTAGGATCTGTACTCAGATTGCCTTCCTCCAAGTCCTTAAGATGACATCAGCCACAGCTCAGCAGCAGAATTTTAATGAGCAGAGGCAAATAATGGGAGGGAGGGCTGATGCTATAAGGAAGAAAGAATAGAAAATGGTGTGTGTGTGAGTGTGTGTGTGTGGTCATGTTGTTCCTGACTGCCAGGGCTGTGACTGAGCACTGTAGGTATGCTGGTTGAACCCTCATAGGGAGTGGTGGAAATCCATATTTTTACACCTGGTCAGCCTCCGGGAATCATAGAGATGGCCTGGTCTAGATGCCTTGACAGATATGTATCAGAGGTTTTTCATGTTCGAGTTTGTGGCTCCTGGTGCCCTGTGTGCCTTTCTGTTCTTTAGAAATTGAGGCATTTCCCCAGGCAGTGGAGCACTGAGGCTTCCAGTTTATCTTTGCTTCTCTAGAAGTCAGTGAAGCATACAGAGTCTCGACAGAACAATTAGTCTTATCTAGTACACCCTGTGTAGCTCATAAACGACGTGGTATCCTGGCAACTACAATTGTATTCTTCCTGGTAACCACCATTATATTCTGTTTCTGATAAGGGTATAAAAAGCCCGATTGCTTGCAATAATCTCATCACAGTCTCAGTCTGGCTGTGACCCCTCTGACCCATGCCTTCTAGATGACGGTCCCTCTTACCAACCCTGGCTTGGTAAGTAAGCGCTATTGCTTTCGGTCAGCAATGAGGCAGAGGACAGCAAGGGTACTCACCGAGTTTGATCACATGGTTGATAAATCTCTGGATACAAAACTAGAAGAGAACAGAGAAGTCCGCGGTCAGTATCGCCATGCCGTGAAAGCCATTTATACAGTTCAGAAGTCAAATGGCGGAACCTCTATGAAGTCCAGCCACCTTAGTGTTCTGTAGGTCTATCAGAATAGGAGAAAGAAGTCAATGAGATCAACACAATCTGCTCAGGCTATGACAGGAGAAACTCATCTTCCCCAAGCTGTCCTCCGAGCTCCACGTGTGTGCATGCGCATACAGGTAAATACATGTAAAAACCAGAAAACTAACTTCCTAGAGTTTTACCTTTAGCGGATGCTTCTTAGGAGTTAGATCCCTGAAACTCACAAACAAGATGGGGACCGAATCTGAAAACTTGTCCTCCAACACAACACAGGTGCACACAGACACACACACTCCTCAAGGCCAGTGCCTCGCTTTGCGGCACCAGTTTGCTTCCTGCCTGGTGGGTGTTTCCCATTCTCAGCACACTTTGGGGTGTACACTGATTACCCTTCCCCGTTTTAGGTTCTCCCCTTCAACCTTTCTCCTATTCTTTGGTGACTCAGGAGGGACTTCCTCAAGAAGACAGGTAGGTACATACATCTATCTTTGCAGCTGTTAGGTCTCCAGCCCTCTGTAGTCTGGAAATGAGCTCAAGATGGACTATAGGATTTCTGGTAGTCAGATAAAAGCCAGCACTTGCAAGAGCGGTTTTCTAATCCCAAAAGGAGTGTTTCCCCAGCAGCTACTCGTCCCTATAATGGGAATGATTTCTCTGCCCCATCCCCCCTTGTTACTTTTTATCCTCTCTCTCATCTCTCTCTCGCCATTCCCACTGCTCTCCCGCTTCCCTAGCCCTTGCCATGTCCAGTCTGCCTTCTTCTCTCCCTGCTCTGGACCCTTCCAGACCCTCTGGTATCTCCTCTCTTACCCATAAGAAAAACCAAACCTTCCCCTAATGAAGCCAGTTGCCATGTTGGTAGTTTTTTACTGTACCCCTGACAAACATCAATACAGGAAAAGCTGAGGCAGGAGACCTGCCATGAGTTCCTGGCTAGCCTGGGCCAGAGTGTGAGACCCTGTCCCTCAGACAAAACAATAATAACAAAAATTAAGAGAAATGACTACACTTCTAGAGGACCCAGGTTCAATTCCCAGCACCTATATGGTGGCTCACAACTGTCTTTAACTATAGTTCCAGGAGATTTGACTTCCTCACACAGACATACATGCAGCCAAAACATCAATACACAAGAAATAAAAGTAAATTAATTAAAAAAATTAAGAATGGCCAGGTGGTGGTGGTGCATGCCTTTAATCCCAGTACTCGGTAGGCAGAAGCAGGTGGATTTCTGTGAGTTTGAGGCCAGCCTGGTCTAGAAAGTGAGTTCTAGGACAGGATCCAAGCTACACAGAGAAACCCTGTCTTGAAAAAACAACAATAACAACAAAATTGAGGATGGCATGTACTCACTTTAACAAAAATCTATGACTATTATTTTACAACAAAACATACTTTGATGATAAAAGAAGATTCTTTGTAGGAAGAAGAGAAGATTCTGTCCCACATGGGCCTTGTGTCCCGTTAGATATGAGGATAGGGAGGATGGGCAGGTTCCTTTTTTAGTTTTGTTGTTTGAGACAGGGTTTCTCTGTGGAACTGCTCTGCGCAGACAAGTGAGGGTAGGACAGGGTTACCTGGTAATTGAGGGCTGAAGTGAAGTCTTTCTGTTCAAACGCCTCCAGCATCTGGTTTGTCTTTTTTCCCAGGTAGTTATACGTACTGGAAGACAACAGGAAATATTCCAAGCTTAATCATTCAGTGGGAAAGATCCAAACCCTTTTTACCTGATGCTTAAAAGGAAGGAGATAGGCATTGCGGATGGGCTTATCTTACATATGCATGGGCCTAGGTTTAGTCACACCTCACTCCATAAAAGAATGCCAGGCCAACCAGCCTGGGCAGCATAGTAAGGACCTGACCTAGTCCCCAAACAGGGACTATGTCGGTGGAGACAGGAGGATTCGGAGTTGAAGGCCATCTCTAGCTATATAGTAAGTATGAACTTGAGCTACAGGAGATCTTGTCTTGGAGAAAAAAAAATCAAAACAAAGGAAAATATGTAGTGAGGGCTCCTACTAGTCTGTAGGGCCAGTGGCTTGGAGAACCTGTCTGTCTTCAGTTCTGAGTTCTGCAGCAGCACAAAGAAGGGCCAACAGAGGAGACAGAGAAAGGTCGCAGGGAAAAGGAAAGGAACAAAGTTTTAAAATTGGAGAGTAAAAAGCTGGTAGCAGACTTTAGCTGGGAGAGACTGCCTGAAGCACACACAGGCTCAGAGATAGACAACCAGGGCTCAAAAGCAGCCCCTGAGGTAAGTACTAAAAGCCATATGCTGGGCCATGCACGGTTACACATGCCCACAATCTCAGCATTCAGGAGGCTGAGGCAGGAGGATCTCTTTGAGTTTGGTTGCACAGCAGGTACTAGACACTTGGGAGGTGGAGCGGGAGGATCAGGAATTCAAGGTCATCTTTGGCTACCCAGTGAGTTTGAAGTCAGCCTGGGCTATAAGAGATCATGTCTCAATACAAAACACAACAAAAAAGACTATTCAAGTTGGGCTGGGGGTGCAGTGTAGTATTACAGGTGTGCATAGCATTCCTGAGGTGCTGGGTTTGATCATCAATGTTTAAAAAGGCATCAAGTCAACAGGGCTTGTCAAAGGCAGGCATACCAAGACACATTGTGCAAGGTACCTTAGCTGCCCCTTAAGAAACAGACTCTCAGCCAAACAGGTCGCTGGACCTGCGGCAGTCTTTAGTGAAGTCAGCAAGCAGAGTGGCTTTGCTGACTGCACTGCCTAACGTGCTGAGCAGACACTGGGACACATGATCGTGGTTTCCTGGCCATGGTGGGCCAGACTTTGGTGGATCCTAGACTAGGTCAGACAACGCTAATGAAACCTGAGAAGAGAAACAAAGACATGCGGAAGATGTTGAGGTGAGTATCTTCAGGGGACCCTTGGAAAGGGTGGCTTTTTGGAGCTGTTCAGAGCTTTGTAGTTTCTGGCTTTGGTGGGCTAGGGTCTGGCTGTATTTATCCCTGTGAAGTGGTATGCAATTTGTCAGAATTTTATAACAACTTTCTTCTTCTTCTTCTTCTTCTTCTTCTTCTTCTTCTTCTTCTTCTTCTTCTTCTTCTTTTCCTTCTCCTTCTCCTTCTTCTCCTTCTTCCTCCTCCTTCCTCTTTCTTCCTTCTTCCTTCTCCTTTTTCTTGAGGCAGGGTTTCTCTGTAGCTTTGGAGCCTGTCCTGAAACTAGCTCTTGTAGACCAGGTGGGCCTCGAACTCACAGAGATCAGCCTGCCTCTCTAGGGCTGGGATTAAAGGAGTGTGCCACCACTGCCTGGCTTTTTATTTTTTTTTTAAACAGGGGCTAGTTTGAACGGATTTCTGTCATTTGTAACTAAGCTTCTGACACTCTAGCTTCAAGATACTGACCATCGGGGTCTACAGAGTTAACAGGAGGCTCTGCAAAGATGGGGTCCCTGGGCCCCTTCAGTCCACATGCTCATCTGCCTCACCTGACTACACTGGATACTATCACATAACACAACTTTCCTTTTTAAGATTAAAAACTATTATTTTGGCTCCTGTGCCAGGAGGGGTCCTGGGCCAGCAAGAGGCCCTGCTCCTGTACCAGGAGGTCCCACATCAGAGCACTGGACTGAGCTCCCAAGGTCCAGCTGAAGAGCAGAAGGAGGGAGAAGATGAGCAAGGAAGTCAGGACCATGAGGGGTTGGTGCACCCACTGAGACAGTGTGCCTGTTCTAATGGGAGCTCACCAAATCCAGCTGGACTCAGACTGAACGAGCATGTGATCAAACAGGACTCTCTGAATGTGGGTGACAATGGGGGCTGACTGAGAAGCCATTGATAATGGCACCGGGACTTGTTTCTACTGCATGTACTGGCTTTTGGGGACCCTAGTTTATTTGGATGTACACCTTCTTAGGCCTGGATGGAGGAGGGAGGGCCTTGGACTACCCACAGGGCAGGGTACCCTGCCATCTCTTAAGACTGGAGGGGGAGGAAAGAGGGTGAGTGGGGGAGCAGGAGGGGAATGGGAGGAGGGGAGGAAGTGGAAATTTTTTGAATGGAAAAATAAAAATATATAAAAATAAAAAACCTATTATTTTTATATGTATGTGTTTTCGTCTTATGAGTTTATGTGTATCATGTGCTTGTAGGAGCCTGCAGAGGTGAGATTTGCAAGAGCAGCCTGCAATTGCTTGTCTCTTTTTCCTTCTCTCACTCTCTCTGAAACAGAGTCTATCAGCTATCATAACCTCAAAATCATGGCTATCCTCCTACCTCAGTTCTTTGAATGTTGGCATTAAAAGCATAGATCATCACATGTGGCTGTGTGGTTGGAACCTCCAGCTCGCCCATTCCTCCCCCCGCTCCAAACCCTGCCTGCTCTGAACACAAGAAAGGTGCCAAAATGCCCAGTTCTGCATTCTTGGCGGCGACTGCAGCTTCCTCTCCTGAAGTTTCTAGCCACCCAATAAGTCCCCCACCTCAAACGCTCAGCTTTTGATCACACATGGGCACAAACCCAGCCTGTGGTGGACACAATATCACTCCTCACCTACAACCTATAAAGTTTCCCTGCTTTTGTTTGTGGGCACGGCTTCTCGGGCCTGGGTCTCTGGGAGTGGGGAACCTGCCCAGGAGTTGCTTTGTTCAAATAAACCTGTTCTACTTTTTCAATTTGGCTTGATCTGGCTTGCCCATCCTGTGATGGATGAGGTGACCCCTGTCAGGTTTCTGGATGGGGTTGTGTGGGTAGGAACCTGTTAGTGACCACTACTAAAGTGTTTCTGTTTTGCTGTCAGATTTATTTATTTATTTATTTATTTATTTTTTGTGGTTTTTCGAGACAGGGTTTCTCTGTGGCTTTGGAGCCTGTCCTGGAACTAGCTCTTGTACACCAGGCTAGTCTCGAACTCACAGAGATCTGCCTGCCTCTGCCTCCCAAGTGCTGGGATTAAAGGCGTGCGCCACCACCGCCTGGCTTGCTGTCAGTTTTGAGACAGAGTCTCAAGTTGTTCAGATTCTCTTAAAGACTTTCCAGGTAGCTGAGGATGACCTTGAAATCCTAATCCTCCTGCCTCTACCTCTCACGCGCTGGATTTGTAGGTTTACGTCACTACTCCACGCTCCTCCCTCCCTCTTTCCTTCCCTTCCTATTAAAGCTTGAGGATCATTTCATTAGCATTTGAGAGAAAAGCCAGAGTGAGCAGAGGGCAGGGGAGAGAGGAAGAGGAGCAGAGAATGCCGCTCCTTTTCAGTTAGGGTCCATCTTCCCATGACTGAGTCAAATTGCACCAGTCGAGCAAATTACCCAGCTTCTTTCCAATGAATGGCATGGAAATGACTTCTATTAGAGAGGACGAACATGCAAGAAGCCCATGCACTCCAGTGATGAGTGACTTTAAATCTGTAATCACTGGGAAAGGGCACGCCGTGCTTACCTGCCTACGGCTCCATTTGCCCCCATGATCAGACCACTCAGCAGTTGCTGAGGAAAAAAGAGACAAAGAGACTCGTTTTTTTTCAAACAAGAAGAGCTGTCATATCATAAACAGCTAAAATGGATCACTGTGAAGCTGGGATATGCCCAGGGGATAACTTACCTCATCCACCCCAAACAGCAAAGCAAACTGTCGCTGCTGATTCTGATCCACGCACTGCCCGAAGTCTAAGAGATCCGTGTCACTGAACTTCAGTCCTTGAAAGCTGGGGATCTTCTCCCGAATCCCATCAAGCAGCTCTTCTGCACGAACTTTGGAACAACAAACACTTACTTTATCAATGCACACAGCAACAGAGACTGTCAATTACCGTCTTGAGCTGGCATGTTGGCACATGACTATATTCCCATTCCCAGCACTCTGAAGGCAGAGGCAAGGCGATTCTGAGCTACATAGTAACAGCCTGGGCATGGTGGTGCACACCTTTAACCCTAGCATTCAGGAGGCAAAAGCAGGCAGTCTCTGTGAGGTTGAGGTTAGCCTGGTCTACATTTCCAGGCCAGCCAGGGTGGGATACATAGTGAGACTGTGTCCAGCCGGGCGGTGGTGGCACAGGCCTTTAATCCCAGCACTCAGGAGGCAGAGGCAGGGGGATCTCTGAGATTGAGGCCAGCCTGGTCTATACAGTGAGCATCAGTTTCAGGGCAGTCAGGCTATTGGGAGAAAGCTAGGGATTCTTTCTTTCTTTTTTTTTGGGTTTTCGAGACAGGGTTTCTCCATAGCTTTTTTTTTTTTTGGTTCCTGTCCTGGAACTAGCTCTTGTAGACCAGGCCTCGAACTCACAGAGATCCGCCTGCCTCTGCTGAGATTAAAGGTGTGCGCCACCATCGCCCGGCAAGCTATGGATTCTCTTCTCTTTCATTTTGAGACATGGACACCTGTAAACCTAGGGGGGTCTCTCTACAAAGCTGCTGAGGATGACACTGAACTTCTGGTCTTCCTGCCTCCACCATGAAAGTTCTGGGATTGTAGGTGTGCATTGCCATGCTTTGTCCATGGGAAGCTGTGCACATCCAAGGTGAACACCGTACTTTACATCTTCATCCACGCCTAGGCCATCTCCTTATCTAACGAGGTGACCACCCCTAGGCTATCCTGGGATCTGATAAGGTCCACCCCTAGCCCATCCCGTGATCTTACGAGGTGACTACCCCTAGCCCATCCTGTGATCTGATGCAGTGACCACCCCTAGCCCATCCTGTGATCTGATGGAGTGGCCACCCCTAGCCCATCCTATGATCTGATGCAGTGACCACCCCTAGCCCATCCCGTGATCTGATGCAGTGACCACCCCTAGCCCATCCTGTGATCTGATGTGGTGACCTGTGATCTGATGAAGTCACTGGGGATATAGCTTAGTGGTAGACTACTTGCCTAGTTTGAACGATACCTTTGGTTAAAGTCCCAGTATTGCAAAACTAACCGACTAAATGAATATGTATCTACAAAGTGCTTGTTATAAATGTCTAGGATCTCGTGCTATAGCCTAGGCTGGACTTTAACTTACTATGTAGCTATCCTACATATATGCTACATATCCCCCTATCCTATGGGGATAGGTTAACTTCAAATTCATGGCAATTTTCCTGCTTTAGCTTGTCAAATTCTCTCTCTCTCTCTCTTATATATACACTTTCCAGGAGACAGTTCCAGATCCCATTATAGATGGTTGTGAGCCACCAGAATTGAACTCAGGACCTCTGGCAGAGCAGTCAGTGCTCTTAACCTCTGAGCCATCTCTCCAGCCCCCTTTCTTTGAGACAGGGTTTCTCTGTGTAACAGAGCCCTGGTTGGTCTCTAACTCACAGAGATCCACTTGCCTCTACCTACAGGGGATTAAAGATGTGTGAGCGACTGCGGCCTGGCTTGCCTGCCAAATTTTCTTATTCCTTTTAAGATGAAGTCTCATATATCCTAGACTGGTCTTGAACTTGCTGTGTAGCAGAAGACAACCTTAAATTCCTGGTCCACCTGCCTCTACCATGAACTAGAGGCTTGTGCAGCCACACCCAGTTTTATCCACTCTTCTTGTAAAGCACAAGGACCTCTGTGTAAAGTGACACGAATGGCTGAGGTCTTAGAGCAGTTCTATCTGAAGCAACTTTAGCTGCCTCATCAGTGGCCTGTGTAGTTGGATGGGGTGGGATGAAATGGAGCTTCTTTTTTTTTTTCTTTATTATGTATACAGTGCTCTGTCTGTACATCAGAAGAGGGCACCGGATCTCATTATAGATGATCATGAACCACGATGTGGTTGCTAGGAATTGAACTCAGGATCTCTGGAAGAGCAGCCAGTGTTCTTAACCCCTGAGTCATCATCTCTTCAGGCCCCCAAAATGGAGTGTCTTGATGGAATATGTGAGAGTTGGAGACAATGTAGGAAAAAAACCGAAATATTTGTGTTTTAGACAAATGGCTCAGTGGAAGAAGACTGATTCTTCTTCTAGAGGACGGTGGTCTGATTCCCTGTACTCACATAGCAGCTCACAACCATCTCTGACTCCAGTTCCACAGGATCTGCTGCCCTCTTCAGATATCCGTGGTCACCAAGCACCATGTGGTGCAGACACGCATTCAAGTAAAGCACTTGTATGCAGACACATAAAACAAAGTTAAATGTAGTTAAATACAACAATACTTACTTTTTACTCCCGTCAAGGAAGGAATGTGGTAGTAATAAAAAGGCAAAGCAGGGGCTGCAGCAGCCACCTCCCTCAGGAAACTTATCAGGGCATCTGAAAGAACAAGAGTCCCATGAACAAGACTAGAACAATGGCTTTCCTGTATGAGAGCGTGAATCATTCAGGCTGAAGAGATGGCTCAGAGGCTAAGGGGCACTGGCTGCTCTTCCAGAGGACTTGAGTTCAATTTTCAGCAACCACATGACAGCTCACAAGCATCTACGATGAGATCCAGTGCCCTCTTCTGGCCTGCAGGTGTACATGCAAGCAGAATACCGTATACATAATAAATAAGTAAATCTTTTTTTTTTTTAAGTAAATCATTCAATGAGATGCAGTCATCCTCTCAGAGACTGAAAACTCCTAACTGCCCTTACTATTCTCAACTGTGCGACTGCAATGTCACTTCACCAAAGTTTTATTTTTTGAGGCCAAAATAAGAGGACTGGAGAGATGGTCCAGCAATTACAAACACTGGCTGGTCTGCCAGAGGATCTGATCTGGTTTCTACACTCACATAGTGACTCACAACCATCTATTACTCCAGTCTCAGAGGATCTGACGCTGTCATCTGGTCTCTAAGGGCACCAGGCGTGCATTGTTGTTTATAGACATACATGCAAACACACATACACACACACACACACACACACACACAAATAAAACTAAAAATCATAATTGCTTTGTTTCTCACACTACTAGTGGACCACACTAATCCACTGTTAAAAAACTGGGCAGGGTAGGGCACACCTTTATTTATTTATTTATTTTTAAATATTTATTTATTTATTATGGATACAATATTCTGTTTGCATATATGCCTACAGGCTAGAAGAGGGCACCAGACCCCATTACAGATGGTTGTGAGCTACCATGTGGTTGCTGGGAATCGAACTCAGGTCCTTTGGAAGAGCATGCAATGCTCTTAACCGCTGAGCCATCTCTCCAGCCCCCTATGGCACACCTTTAATCCCCATCATTCAGACTCAGGAGGCAGAGGCAGTTGGGTATATGTGCGTTCTAGCCTGATATACATAGCAAGTTCCAGGCTAGCCAGTATTGCATAGTGAGACCCTTTCCTAAAACAAACAAACAAACAAACAAAGAAAAAGAAGAAAGAAAGAAAGGAAAGAGAGCAAAATATTTTAGGGAGTCTGGAAGATGGTCTAGTCAGTACTTGCTTTCCTTGCTTGTTGAATGGGCATGAGGACCAGAGTTCAGATCCTTAGCACCCACAGGCACAGCAGTACACGCCTGTAATTCTGCCCTGGGGAAGTAGAGCCAGGTGGATCCTTGAGGACTGCTAGCTGGACTCTGAACTCCAGACCAGTGAGAGAGTAACCCTGTCTCAGTGATTAAGGAAGACATCTGATGTCAACTTCTGACCTCCACATAGGCACGCACGCAAGGGCCCCTGCACACATGTGCACATACATGCACACACAAATTGGAGCTGAGGGTATAGCTCAGTGGTAGGTGTATAATATCATACTCAAGGGCCTGGGTTTGGTCACCAGCACAAGGGGAGAGGGGTGGGGAAAGCCAGGCACGTACTTCCCCACTATGGAGAGACAATCATTACATATTACTAAGAAAATCAGGGTCCTATCAGGACAGACTCCAGTGTTCTTACCCCAGAAGGGCTAGTGTGACAACGGCCAACAGGGGCTATACACTGTAACTGGGACAATTCTACAATAGCAACAAAGAGAAACCTCAGTTTTAAAATGGAGTTATAGCTGGGCCTGGCGTTGTAGGCCTGTGATCCCAGCTTCCTGCGAGACTGAGGTGAGATGTTCAGAAGTTCAAGGCCAGGGCCTGGGAGAGGGCTCAATGGATAGAAGTACTTGTAACACAACCCCATGACCTGAGTTTGATCCCTGAGACCCACAGTGGAAAGAAGAGAACTGAGTCTTAAAAGGACTCGTCTCCTCACCTCCATACTTACCTGTGGCCATGTGCACTCATGTGTGGCATATGCATATCTACACACACACACACAGGCACACATGCATGTATGCACGCAAACACACACACATACAGGCACGCACGTACGCACGCACGCATACATACACAGCCCACCTGGACAACAAGATTAACTCAGGACCAGCCTGGGTAACTTAGACATTTTCTTAAAAATTTAAACAAGAGAGGGGAGTATAGCTCCGCTGTAGCATGCAGACCAGCACACTTGATGCCCTGGGTTCAATCCCTTGTGTTAAAAGAGCTTAAAAAAGAAAAGGTTGGCAGTGGTGGCACATGCCTTTAATCCCAATACTTGGGAGGCAAAGGCAGGCGGATCTCAGTGAGTTTGAGGCCAACCTGGTCTACAGAGTGAGTCCCAGAACAGCCAGGACTATCACACAGAGAAACCCCGTCTTGAAAAAGGAAAAAGAGTGGGGGCACATACCATAAACACTCCACAGCATTGGACACGCTTTCCCTTTTGGGACCGATCCGGACAGAGCAGAAGCGAGACTCTGGCTGTTAAGGAAGTGGGTTTCCTTTGTTCATCAAGTCAACTGCACTACTGCAGGCGACAGAGAGTAGGCTCACACTGTGGATGAGGCCCCAAGCGGGAGAGACAATTTCATGTGTCATCTCCTCTGCGTACTGTGAAAACATGCTCAGCACTCAGGAAATGCTTCAAATAAAGTTGTTATGAATAATTCATCTCTCTGCTCATTTTTCAGAAAAACTGCTTACATAAAAAAAATTGCAAAATAGCATGAAAAAAATGTCCATTCTAAATTTCCAAACTATCAGTAAATAATTTACCTACATGAGGGATGGTTTTCTATCGGCCAACAGTGGGTATCATTTCATGACAATTTATGGATTTAATTATGGCTTTAATCATCTGCACAAATATCTCCCTTTCTCCTCCCTACAAATCAGGACATCATATATCCTAGGATGGCCTCAAACTCCCTATGTAGTTGAAGATGACTTTGAACTTCTGATCCTCCTGTCTTTACCTCTTCAGGCCTGGGGTCCTAAAGCTTTGTGCATGCTAGGCAAGTACTCTACAAACCACACTGCACCCCAAGTAAAAGGTCCCTTATCAGTGGGGATAGGAAGATCAGGAAGTCAATATCTCCTGCTATGTAAAGAGTTCAAAGGCCAGGGGTGGTGGTGCATGCCTTTAATCCCAGCATTTAGGAAGCAGAGGCAGGCAGATCTCAGTGAGTATGAGGCTAACCTGGTCTACATAGTGAGTTCCAGGACGGCCAGGGCTATATAGAGAGATCCTGTCTCACCCCTCCTCGCCAAATAAACAAACAAGAGTTCAAGGAAGGTTGGGCTACTTGAGATACTATCTTAAAAAAAATACACACATGTACACACACACACACACACACAAATTTCCTTATACTTGGACACAAATAGTTCCTACAGAGAAACCATCAGAGAAGAAGAAATCCATAGTTTATTTTGGAAAACAATAGGCTTTTTCTTGGGGGGGGGGCAGTGTTTCAAGATAGAGTTTCTCCTTGTAACCCTGGCTACATGCATGGCTAAGTATTACTCACTGGCCGGTCAACCTAACACCCCTAGCCTGACAGAAACTTAGATCAGTTTGGATCTGTTTCTTATTTATTTATTTTTTTGGTTTTTTGAGACAGGGTTACTCTGTAGCTTTGGAGCCTGTTCTGGAACTAGCTCTTGTAGACAAGGCTGGCCTTGAACTCCCAGAGACCCGCCTGCCTCTGCCTCCCGAGTGCTGGGATTAAAGGTGTGCGCCACCACCGCCCGGCAGCTCTGTGTCTCATTGTTTACTCAGGAAGTGCTGTGTGACCCTGAAAATGTGGTTTATATTCATCCAGAGGCTTTGCTGTAGAGGGGGAAGTAGGAGAGAGGTGTGATGGAGACAGGAGGGTTATGTAGCTGTGTGGAAAGAGATGTCGCTGTGTGGAGACAGATTTTCAGAAAGAGATTTTTCAAGATGAAGTAAGAGAGAAAGTTATCATTGGGAAGTGCGCGTTTTCTTATTCACCCCTTAGATAGAAATGTTTGGCCCCTGAGGATTTTTTTTTTTTTTTTGCATTCCCTGGAAGTGGCCTTGGAGCAGGCTCTCAGAAAGGCCACTGGTACTTGCTTACCTTTGCTCTGTGACTTGAAAAAGAAAGGTGCAATGACAGCAATGCCATCAGCTCCAATTTCTGCTGCATGCTGGGCCTTGACAGGAAGAAAAGACCATAACAGAGTGAGTGATCACAGTCCCTATACTCACCAACAAACTCTAGAGTTCAGCAAAAACCTCTTCATATTTGTCGCCCCCTCTAGAGAACAGAAAGATTAAACCGTTTAATTAGAACAATGGTTCGCAACCTTCCTAATGCTGTGACCCGATAATAATAATAATAATAATAATAATAATAATAATAATAATGTTGGAGTGACCCCCCCAACCCATAAAATTATTTTTGTTGCTACTTCTTAACTGTAATTTTGCTACTGTTATGAATCGTAAATATCTGTTTTTCTGATGCTCTTTGGGTGACCCCAAGGGGTTGAGACTCACAGGTTGAGAACTGCTGAATTAAAATGTCATTCCTGGAATGTCCCAGGTTGCTGGAGAGACACCTGGTGTAGGTAAGCTGAGTGTTTAATTTCATGTTTGCATACCTGTCTCTGGGCCATCTCACTGCCTCTCTGGATTTATTCTCACTCACTGACTTTTTATAAGATTTATTTTATGTGTGTTCATGCATGTACACAGGCATCCAGACACCAGAAGAGGTGTCAGGTCCCCCAGAGTTGGGGTTACAGACAGTGGTAAGCCGCCACGTGGGTGCTGGGAATCAAACTGGGGTTCTCTGGAAGGCAGTGTCCTTAATCTCTGAATCATCTTTCTGATCACCCAGAATCTATGTTGCTGGCTTTTTGTTTTTTGAGACATGGTCTCACTATGTAGCCTTGGCTGGCCTGGAGCTCCCATGTAGACCAGATTTGAACTCATATTCCTCCACACTTAGGCTCTCTAGGCTAATCTTTTCACCTTCTGAAAAACAAGGATTATGGGCCTGTGCCACTATGCGTGGCTACTTGGATTTCTGTCAGGATACACACACAACAAAATCCTACCACGCCACCAAAGTCACTTTGCTAAGACATGAGAAGCTCATTTACAACTGTTAACAGAGAAGCCTGCTTGTATAATTTTTCTTCCACTGCTCTGCCTACTCAATGGTATTATCTTTCCCATGGGATGGTATAACAGTCATATTTCAAGTTGACATTACAGACTGGGAATACAGATGAGAAAGGTTAAGAAGAAAAAGATATATATATATATCACAAAAGATACATAGCACCATGCTTTGACAGCTTCTTGAATTCTCCCAGGGAAAAGTATAAAGGACGTTTCTTCTCCTTGGGCATTCATAACACTTTTAAAATATTTTATGAATATAGGTGTTTTGTCTATATGTATGTCTGTGTACCACTGTGTGCCTGTGTAATTTATCTCACTGTGGAATTCACAGAGATCCACCTCAAGTACTGGGACTAAAGGCATCTACTACCTCATTAGCCTTTATTATTATTATTGTTGTTGGTTTTTCAAGACAGGGTTTCTCTGTGTAGCTTTGGAGCCTGTCCTGGAACTAGCTCTGTAGACCAGGCTGGCCTCGAACTCAGAGATCTGCCTATCTCTGCCTCCCCGAGTGCTGGGATTAAAGGCGTGCGCCACCACCACCCAGTTTATCTTTATTACTTTTTAAAAGTCTCTCACTGGACCCAAAGCTCATTCATTGGGCTGGGCTGGCCGACTACTGAGCTTTAGAGATCTGCTGTCTCCTCCCAGCCTAAGGCTAGGGTTGTAGGGTTGTAGCCACACCTATCATTTCATGTGGTTCCCGAGGGTCTAAATTCAGGTTGTCCTGCTTGCTGCACATACTTTACCAACTGAGCTGCTTCCCTACCCATCTCTTTAGTTATTTATGAGTATTTTACCGCCATTACACATTAAATCCGAATAGTAAGAAAACAAACATTTCATGAAGAACTGGGCTAGATGAAAACTGTGGAATCATAGAGCTAGAGTTTCCTGGGGATGCAGTTAATGTGCAGGTATAAAGGGACTGGGCTTCTGATAAACAATTTAAGGCCTCTTTGTACTTTAGTTTCTTAATTAATTCGCCCAGGCCTCAGAACCATCACCATCTGCTTTTGCTTTGTTTTGTCTTGTGTGGCCCAGGTTGTCTTCTACCTCCAATGCCCCAGTTTCAGTCTCTGGGAAGTTAGGATTACAGGTGTGTGCTGCCATGCCTGGCTCCTGTCTAGCTTTTTGCGCAAACCTAGCTCAATTACTAAACCCAGAGTGACCCGAGTCTCTGCATCCTTGATCCTATGTCCTGGCTGAAGACTGTATCTGGACAGTTTTTACAGTTCTGCTGAACAGTGGTCTGATATGTTTCTGGCTGACAACTTTGTTTTTTATATTTATTTTGTTTTTTGTTTGTTTTTGGGTTTTTCAAAGGGTTTCTTTGTGTAGCCCTGGGTGTCCTGGAACTCGATCTGTAGACCAGGCTGCTCTTGAACTCACAGAGATCCACCTGACTCTGCCCTCTGAGTGCTGGGAAGAGGCATGCACTACCACCACTGGCTACAGCTTTGGTTTTGAACCTGTAAAGAAACCCATTCTCCAGAGAAGCCCCACTGCCTATTCCCTTTCTGTCCAGCAGATGGCGATGCCTCTCATTTCCCAGAGAAGACTGATGCTGGCTTAAGTTCTGCATTTACAGCCAACCTCAGCTCTATTTGAGAGAAGTTCCCTTGTCTCTTGTCTTCCAGCTGTCATTTCTTTTGAGCTACTGCCTTTCCACAGTCCCGTGCCTGCTTCAGAGGGCCCACACATGATCTCTTCCAGCCAAATATAGGACTGGTTTGAATTCTAGCACAAGAATGAAGGTCCCTCGAATATCCATACCAGTTCTTGTGACTCCTTCAAACTTAGTGCTCCCACGTGAATTACCACCTGGTCCAACCTGCAAGAGAGAAGCAGTGTGAACCACCTGGAGTTTAGAAGAACACAGAACGGCTGCACCATCCTGTTTGTGCTGGCTTAATAGCCTCAAGACTAATACAGCAGTTGAATCAATTCTATCATGGTTCTTGGGACCCACAACATGAAACAAGAGAATCCATTCCCAAAAGTCGTCCTTTGACCTCTATCCACATACCATGGCACAAGAGTTTATGTACATGTATGTGTGTGTCATATATATATATATATACATATATATATGCATACAGTATAATAAAAAATCAAAACAAACACAAAACTAAACAACAAAAACTCAAAACCCCACTACTAGGCAAGAATAAATGAAAACAGGGCCTAATGGCACAGGTCTGTAATCTCTGATACTTGGAAAGCTGAGGCAGGAGGACCTCAAATTCAAGGCCAACCTGGGGAACTTATTAAAACCTTGTCTTCAAAACAAAACAAAATTAAAAATACATTATGTAATACTCTCAAGGAATTTTAAAAAATATTATTTAAAAACTAAAAAGTAGGCAAGAATAAATAAAAATAGGTCCTAGTGGCACCAGGTCTATAATTAATTCCCAACAACCACAGGAGGATCACAAATTCAAGTAAACCTTGGGAAGTTATGGAGACCCTTATCTCAAAATGAAAAATACAGAAGTCCAGAGATATCTGAGTTAGAGCTCAGAGGCACGGCGCTGGCCTAATGCGCAGGAAGCAGCTCTGGATTCGATCCCTGGCAGTGCAGTTTTAAAAAGTGCACGGAGACATTTCTCTGTGCTCATTTAGCAAATAAACTGGCCCCAAGAGGAAGCTATTTTAGGGCTGGAGAGATGGGTCAGCATTTAAAAGCACTTGGCAGCTCTTTCAGAGGAGCCAGGTTTGATTCTCAGCACACACATGGTGACCCAAGGACATTCAATAATCCTGTGTGAGTACCGGGGGTATGAAAGTGTTTTTACCTGTTAAACCATTTCCTCTACCCTTAGTTTATCTATCTATCTATCTATCAATCCATCCATCCATTTTGGGGATAGGTTCTCTCTATTATGTTGCTCTGGAACTCATTACGTAGACCAGGCTGACCTCAAACTCACAGAGATTCACCTGTCTCTGTCCCCGAAAGCTGGGATTAAAGGGATGTGCCACCATACCTAGCCCTCCAAAATTGTTTTAAATTGCCCCTTCCCCCCAATTTACAAACTCTCATTTGCTACTGGTATTGACTACCTGATCAGAAGCACTTGGAGACTGTAAGGTCACAGGCCTTATATATTATATAGAAGCCAAAAACTCAAGGGTATGGAGAAAGGGACTTTTTGAGGAGGACCACAGCAAGGCAGTTCTATAAGGATTCTAATTTATATAGGCTTTCTTCAGAACATCTGGGGTACTCTCCTACTCAAGAGCTTCTTCATATCAAAAGATATACAGCAGAAATAGGGGTACAAAGGCTGAATCAGGGGCTGGAGAGATGGCTCAGTGGTTGATAGTCTTTGCTGTTCTTTCAGAGGACCCAAGTTCAATTCCCAGCACCAACGTTGAGTGGCTCATAATCACCTGTAACACCAACTTTAGGTGATCTCCTGGTCTCCACGGAAACCTGTATGAATACACATACACACACACACACACACACACACACACACACACACACACACACAAAGCTAAAAAGAGAAATCTTTTTTAAAAAGTATGCATGGGGCTGGAGAGATGGCTCAGAGGTTAAGAGCACTGGTTACACTTCCAAAGGTCCTGAGTTCAATTCCCAGCAACCACATGGTGGCTCACAACCATCTGTAATGAGGTCTGGTGCCCTCTCTGGCCTGCAGGGACATATGCAGGCAGATTACTGTATACTTAATAAAATAAACAAATCTTTTTAAAAAAAGTATGCATGTATGAGAGTGCGTGCTTGTGTGTCTCTGTGTGTTGTGTGCATGTGTGTGTTGTGTGCATGTGTGTGTGACACCAATGTGGTGGCTCATGGCTGCAATCTCAGCACTCAGGAGGCTGAGTCAAAGCCAGCTGGGGTGCACAGTGAGCCTTTGTCTGAAAAAAACAAATGGGGAGTGGGTTTTGGAGAAAAAGAGAACTGAAGGCCAGGTTTTTGGCTTCTGCTTTAAATTCCGGAATTTGGGAGGTGGAGGCAGGATGATCAGGAGTTCAAGGTCAGCGTTAGCTACAAAGGGAGGACAGCTGGAATTCCATGAGAACTTGTCTCAAATCAACAGACAGAAATTGTTTTAACTGAAAAGATGTTAAAAAAAAAAAAGTTTGATTCCCAGCAGTTGAAACCATCTGTAACTTCGGTACCAAGTGATCCAATGCCTCCTCTGACCTCTGTGGGCACCAATCACACATGTGGTACACACACATAGATGCAGGCCAAACACTCATAACATAAAATAGATGACTCTATAATAAAAACATTTTAAAAAAAGACGTGAAGGGGAGAAAAAGGCAAACTACAGAGAAAGTAATAATCTGTGGGAAGAGAGAAGGCTGACTTCAGCTTCCTGAAGCTGAGACAGCAGGGAGGGACTTCCTCTCACCCATCAAGCAAAGGGAACCTCAGCTACCTGTCACAGAAACCCTCTCATAAAGGCGGGGAATGGTGAACCAAGAGAACATAAGGGCAGCAGAACTGAGGGAGGAAGAGGAATGGCTTTGACATTAGCCAGTATGTCTACGTCTTAAGACTAGAGCACTCCTTAGAAACCAAGCATGGTGGCCCACTTTTAATCTCAGAATTTGGGAGGCAGGGGCAGGGGGCCTCTCTGTAAGTTCAAGGCTAGCCTGGTCTACAGAGTGAGTCCCAGGACAGACAGGGCAATGTAGAGAGATCCCATCTCAAAAAAAGAAAAATAAAATAGTAGAACACTCCAGTTTCCTGGTGCACTGTGTACCCAGGAGGATCAAAAGTTCAAGGCCATCTTTAGCTACAGAATGAGGTGTGTGTGTGTGTGTGTGTGTGTGTGAGAGAGAGAGAGAGAGAGAGAGAGAGAGAGAGAGAGAGAGAGCGCGCGCGCGAGCGCATGCAAGCCTGGAGAGACAACTTATGGGTTAAGAGTGCTTGCTGTCAAGCAAAAGGGCCAGAGTTCTATCCCCAGGACCCACATGATCGGAGGAGAACACGTCCTCCCCCAAGCTGTCCTTTGATCAACACATGTTGCCCCTCCCCACATTTCACACACACAATAATAATAATTAAAATAAAGGAACTGGGCAGGTGATTCACCTGTAAATTCACCTGTGTAAAAAATAAACAAACCACCCAAAATAGACAAATAAATAAAAATAAGTAAAAATAGTAATAAGAAAAAGTCCACCCAGCAAATCACTCTACTGGGATGTGCTAGCATTCCAACACAGAGATGAAGAAGGTTCCTGGGTAGACGCCATCTTCCTGCTCTCTACCCCACTTAGCCACATGGAGGGTCTTTGCTCCGCTGTTTCTGCTAACCTCCAATATTCTGCCTCCATCTAAACACTACCGATCACTCTTCATCTTAGTTTACACTTAATCAGAAGGTGGGGGCAGGAGTCTTGGGTTTCACAACCTGACTCCCCATTGGATGGAAAGGAGACTGAGGGCAAAGACTTTGCTCCAGGTCCCTGGTGTGAAGAAGCAGGTGTCCTGGCTAGTTTCATGTCAATTTGACAAGGTAGGGTCATCTAGGAAAAGGAATCTTAGTGAGAAAATCCCTCCATAGAGTGCCCTGTAGGCAAGTCTTTATGGAAGACGTGGGAGGGCTCAGCTCTTAAAGAGACGGTGCATAGAAAAACCCATCGAGGAAATCAGGAGGAGGAAGCCGGCAAGCAGCACCCCTCCACGGTCCCTGCATCAGCTCCTGCCTCCAGGACCCTGCTTTGTTTGAGCAACCACCCTGCCTTCCCTCAGGGATGAACTATGATGTGGAAGCAAAGACCAAATAAACTCTCTCCCTCCAAGCTGCTTGTGGTCATGGGTTTCATCACAGCCATAGAAACCATATCCCTTGGCAGAGGGATGATATACACGCTAGCAAGTCACCTTCGCCTTCTCTCTCCCCGTCCAAGGACAGGAACCCTGAGAAGACTTGCCTTCTAGGTGGATGAGAGACAGTTCCTGAAAGGGGGCGGGTGTGCTCTGTGGCCTGGCTACCCTTCCACGGAGAAGGGAAGGCCGCTCCTTGCCATGTGTGGGAGGCTCAGAGCCCCCGATCTTGCCCCGCAGCTGACGGGGAGGTGGCAGGGCTCCAACAGCGGGGAAAAGCCTTGCTCCGTCTAGACCTTGTCCACGAACTGCATCTCATCCCAGCAGTTACTCACTTGTTCCTCCCCTGTGTCACCCATTCCGCTGCCACCTGGCGACGCTCAGAGACACTCAGGGACAGGCCTTCTCCCGTGGTGCCATTCACTGTTGCAGACAAAGAGGTCAGTCAGTGGGACCAGCCAGTGCCTTTTGTTCCTCCAACCCTGAGTCTGGAGGTGGAGGGTATGAAATCCCTGCTTGAGAAGGAAATGGCACACTGAATAAACAGGATGGAGTCTGGAGCGGGAAGTGCCACTCGGCCATTTTTACCTCAGACTTGGTCTTGCATGCATGCCTGCAGGCCAGAAGAGGGCACCAGATCTCATTATTAGATGGGTGTGACCCACCGTGTGGTTACCAGGGACTGAACTCAGGACCTCTGGATGAGCAGCCAGTGTTCTCCAGCCTCTTGGGCTTTATCTTATCAAAGGTAATGGGGAGGCCAACTGTGATGTGTACTGAGGTGGGCGCTGGGAATCAAACCAGGTCCTTTACAAGGAGGGCAAGAGTCTTAACCACTGAATCACCTCTCCAGGTCTTTAGATAAGGTTTCTTTGTGTAGCCCTGGCTGTCCTGGAACTTGCTTTGTAGACCAGGCTGGCCCTGAAATCAAAGATTCACACCCCTACCTCCCAAGTGCTGGTACTCACGGCATGCCGGGCTACAATATCACTTAAGCAGGCTTTGCTGTTATTCTACTGCCTTTTGGTTTCATGATCTCAAGAATCTCTATGCTAGAGAGTTTTGTCTCTAAATGGGGATAAAAACAATATGTTTGTTGCACACTGCAAATGAGATACTCCCAATGAATCTGCAGACCTAGTATTGTTGAGTTTATACACTCAGAACATTTAGTTATCCCAGCAGGTTCCCCTATAACCTCTGACACATGCCCAGAGGCCCTGGTCAGGTGAGGTCTACTACTAGCTAAGGCTTGAGCTAAATAAATACAGAGAATTCACGAGGTTACTTACCAAAAATGTTCTTCACGCCCTGTTCTTTAACCAGGTAATCCACATACTGACCAATTACAGGAAAGTTGATTTCTCTGAAAGACAAGAAAAATAAGTAAGAATGTCTTTTTTAGGTGATTACTCAACCAGTTCACCACTTAAGAACTGTTCATATTAATAATTATTAAAAATCTACTCCAGGGTTGTGTACATAGCTCAGTAGATAGCATGCCTAGCGTGTACCAGACATCAACTGGTGGTAGTGATGATGATGTATATATATAAGTGTGTGTGTGTGTGTGTGTGTGTGGTGTGTGTGAGAGAGAGAGAGAGAGACAGACAGACAGACAGACAGATAGACAGACAACATGTGTGTAGAGGTCAGAGGACAACTTTTGGGGAGTCTATTCTTTCTGTCCATCATGTGGGTCCCAGGGATTGAACCAAACCATCAGGTTTGGGGATGACACAAACACCCACCCACCGAGCCATCTCAGCAGCCTAGTACGCTTCCCTTTGTTTCCAGGAGAAACCTTCTGGTGCAAGGCAAGCATTCCCAGAGGCGCTTCTGCTACTTTAATCCTTTCATAAGTGCCCCATGCCTGTGAGCTAAGCGTGCTTCCAGACGGTTCTTCCATCTTTTCTTTTAAAATTATGACCTGGGACTAGAGTGATGGTTCAGTGGGTAAGAACACTTGTTGCTTTTGCAGAAGACCCAGGTTTGATTCCAGCACCCACCTGGTGGCTTACAATCGTCTGAAACTCTAGTTCCAGAGGACGTTGATACCCTGCTCCTAGGGAAACAGCCATGCGTGTGATGCACATACACACACACAGGCAAATACATACAACAGCCATGCATGTGATGCACATACACACACACAGGCAAATACATACAACAGCCATGCATATGATGCACATACACACATACAGGCAAATACATACAACATATAGGCAAAACACCGAACATATAAACTAGAAAGAAACAAATCGTTTTTTAAAAATAGTATGACCTTTAGCTGAGAATGCTCAGGAGTGACCTCTTAACTCATATCAATTCAAAGATTGGTGACTGGGCTCCAAAACTGCATGAAATGGCCTACCACTACGGAAAATTAAGGTGGCACGGGGCAATGGTGGTGGATACCTTTAATCCCAGTCCTCGGGAAGTAGAGGCAGGCGAATCTTTGAGTTTGAGGCCAGCCTGATCTACAGAGTGAGTCCCAGGACAGCCAAAGCTACACAGAGAGACACTGTCTCAAAACAAAACAAAACAAAACAAAAAACAAACAAACAACAACAACAACAAAAAACCCAAGGGGCTGGAGAGATGGCTTAGAGGTTAAGCCTGCTCTTCCAGAGGACTTGGGTTTAATTCCCAGCACCCACATGGCAGCTCGGAACTGTCTGTAACTCTATTCTGGGGGATCTGGATCCCTTAAATGGACATACCTGCAGGGAAAACATTAATGCACATAAAATAATGATAAATAAATTACAAAAGATAACTCATTAAAACCAAAACCAAAACAAAACAAAAAAAGAAAAGAAAAAAAAAGAAAAATTGATGTGGGGAGGATGGATGACTGAGAGTAAAAACTCAAAGGAAAGCAGTGTGGCGAGTCTGGGTTTACTGATGCAGAACCATGGTTACACTGCCAAGAACACAGATAACTTAGCAGGCTGTCGTTTGTGCTTTTGTGCAGAAGGACTGGAGCCGCCTAATTTGCGTTTAGCCTTATTACCATTCTTTTCATCTTTACTTATTCTATTCCTTAAACAACAATAAAAAAAATCTGGTGCACCTAGATAGCAGACATCAAAGGGTATTTCAGCCAAGGGACTAGAAACAAAGAGAGAGAAGAAAATTCGGCAGATTTTGAGTTTGAAAGGAAAAGATACTGAAAGCAAAGACTGCAGACAGAGCGACTGCCTACGGGGGTGAGGGAAGACAGAGCTGGGCCCACAGCTGGGAAAAGGGGTGCTTAGGGGGAGTTTTAAGGCCACGAGGGGAAGGCTCGCTCTACTGTGTTTCGGGCCCCAACATCACAGCACTGCCCGCTCTCTGCTCCAGTGCTCTGTGCACACAAACACACGCTGATGTGGGTGGATACTCACAGCTACTTTGCCTTCAGGCCTGCGATATTCTGTAACTTCACCATTAGGAGGCTGTGTATATAATTAACTAAAACCCGAAAGCTATGACTAAGTAAAGAATTAAGGGAGGTTTGGAAGAAGTTATGGGGCAGGATGTCTGGGGGAGAACCTGCCTCCTCAGTTCCTCCCACACTTCTGGGAGCTGCCACCTGTCTGGGTCTGTCTGGGCACGATCCTCTTTCTAGGGAGCTGGCTGTACCCTCAGTCAGAGGTAGGAAGGTGAAACTCAAGCTCCTTCTCCTTCCTCAGTGAACTTCACATGTGCTTTTTTTGTTTTTTATTTATTCTATTTTATTATGCTTGGCCTCAGGGGAAAGGGTTTCCACCCATACTCTCCCTCTTCCCTGCCACACTCCTTCAGGCTGTGCTGGGTGTCAATTCTACTCAGGCTCATAGAAACTGTATTACCTATTTTTTTTACTTTTTTTTTTTTTTTTTTTTTTGGGTTTTTCGAGACAGGGTTTCTCTGTGGTTTTGGAGCCTGTCCTGGAACTAGCTCTTGTAGACCAGGCTGGTCTCGAACTCACAGAGATCCGCCTGCCTCTGCCTCCCGAGTGCTGGGATTAAAGGCGTGCGCCACCACCGCCCGGCTTACCTATTTTTTTAAAGAAACGCTAATGCTTGAATTTCTAGGGCAATGGAAGAATCATCTAGAAAAGGTTCTCCGCCTGTGCCCCTTTGGAACTATGGCACAGGCTGAAAAGGGGCAGACTTTAGAACAACCTCTATCTGACTGTCACAATGTTAAAATTTCTTTCACATAGGAAAAGACTTTTGGGCTGGGGACTTTGGTGACACATTTGTCCTGCAAGCACAAGGACCCGAGCCTAGTGCATAGAACCCAGGTTAAAATACACCAAAAAATATTTCCTGACAGGCAGGCTCACAGGCCTGCCAGCCTAGCCTACTTGGGGAGCTCCAGGCTACTGACTGTTTCAAAAAAATAAGGCAGATGGCATGTGAGGAACAATATTTTGAGGTTTTTCTGCCTTCTACATGCACACACACGTGATCATGTGTGTCCAAAAACGACTAAAAAGTCACATATCTAATAAGGCTTTTTTTTTCTTTTGTTTTTAGAGACAGGGTCTCACTATGTAGCCCTGACTATCCCAGACAAAGCCTCTCTACATAGCCCTGGCTGGAACTCACTATGGAGACTCTTCCCCTAGTGTGTTGAGATTAAAGGCCTGGGGCGCCACATCTGGCTAAGGCTAACTTCTCAAAACAGGAAGGCTGGCATCTGCACTGTTAAAGGCCTCATGTCCTGCCAGCTACCTCAGAGCTTGTGATCCCTGCCTGACACTTGCTGTAGGTGGTTAAGTTTGCGACTCTTGACTGAGACATTCAGTTGCTCACTCACCAATGGACCCGGGGCCTGTAAGGTGGCACAGCAGAAAAAGGCATTTGCCACGCTCTGGCATCTGACAGAGAAAATGCAACTTTTTCTTGACATTTTGCACCCTCCCTCCAGTTTAGTGCATTGTCCCGTTTGAAATGATCTTGCCTGAGTCTCCTAAGGAGCTTGGACCCCAGGTACGTATTAGTGTACCCAAATAAAATTTCTTCAGCTATGAAATAGAGCTGTAGGTCCCCGGACCCCGGTGGAGGTGTCAGATGAAACTGGATTGCATGGATAAAATGCCCATCATGATGACTGACACACAATGTTTGTTCAGTCAAACACTGACTTCCTTTCTCCGACAGTCATGTTAGTCATCCCTGTGGTACGTTCCCTGATAAAATGACAAGTCGACTCTTAGATGCTGAACGTATAAAGATAAGACACACGTTTGGTCATTGTATGATGCCCACCCTAAGTTAAAACAGCTCAAATCCTGCTGGAAAAATGCAGGCACAAAACAATCAAATGTTATTGTGGGCTGCAAGATGGCTCAGTGGGTAATGGCACTTAAGGCCAAGCCTGACAGCCCGAGTTCAACCCCTGGGATCTCCATGGTGGGAGGGAAGAACTGGCGGCCACAAGTTGTCTTCTGACCTTCATGTGTGTACCGTGGCACGTGTGCCCCCATACAGATATAAAATAAAGAAGTTATGATAAAAGTCATCATAAAACAGATGAATTTGATTCAATATAAAAAGGTATACACTGAGTATCATGGAGGGGGTCACACAGGAGGGAGCTTCTACCCTTTTTCTCTTTTTTTTTAAAAGAAGAAATGGGAAAAATTGCCAAGGATGGGTTGGGGCTTGAGAAAGCCCAGCTTATGATGCTTAGTACACTAAGAGCTTTGAACTAAATAGTTAAAGTCCTCACAATCAGCTGGGTAGTGGTGGTACACACTTTTAATCCTAGCACTCAGGAGGCAGAGGCAGAGGAGTTTGAGGCCAGCCTGGTCTATAGAGTGAGTTCCAGGACAAGCTCCAATGCTACAGAGAAACCCTGTCTCAATAAACAAAAACAAAACAAAACAAACCCCCTCAGAATCAGGGACTTTCTGACCTGCTGTTGCTTCTCCTGGGTGCAGTGTGGATCACTCTTGGAAATTCTCTTACTGGACATACCTCTAGAGGGACAATTGCTGTCCTATGTCCTCCTGAAACCTTACCTAGAGGTAATCACCTGTGGTGACTAGGAATTTCACCATGCCAAGACAATCTTTCTAGAGAACCATTTACAAACTACTGTTTACTCTGGGCTTGGGTATTTTCCTCTAAAAGCGCCTGAAGTCCTCCCACCCCCCACTCACTAAAGAGGATGCTCAAACCTAATCGATGTTGTCTCTTTAGTATTGTGGTTGCCATTTCCAGGCCTGGAGAATGAGTGTTGTATCCATCCTTACTCATCTATTGTTAGTGTGTTTCAGTGAAGGGGAAGATGAACTCTTCAGAGGGGGAGGAGGAAAAGAAATTCCTCCCTTTCACTCCTGCAAACGTTTGGACAGGTAAGCTGATATGTTAAGGAGTAGGTAGCAGTGGAAAAAGTCAAGAAAACAGAATGGGCCAAGGAACGGAGCCTGGGAAGAAAGAGAGGATGTGATGCTGTTTGGGAAAACAAACGAAGCCAGAAACGAAAGGCAGCTTGTGCAGGACTCCTGTGTCTCTGGGAGTCTGGCTTTCATCTGCAGGCTAGTTCATCTCAGGCTCTAACGAACCACTGTTCGAAGGCAGGTTCTGATTAGCGGGATGTGGCAGGGCCCGAGGCCTGCGATCCTATCAGGGTCCTGTGTGGTACTGGAATAACTGGTCCAAGGACCGTACAGCGAGAAGTAAGGCTTTGGAAGAGGAGAGACAACCAGCTCCAGGAGAGGAGAATGATCTGCCAGATTTACTTACGAGGATGCTCGCTAGGTTGCCGGGTGGAGATGGACTGGTGTGGCTAGAACTTTGAAGTCTTACGGAATTGTGAAGCCCACAGAGTCGCTAATGGCGTCAGAGCAGAGGACTGTAGACACTCAAGCACCAGAGCACTTTAGGGCTGAAGTCTTCCTTTGCAGAACATGAAGGATAGCTTGTCTTTATCTTTGTGTGTCCTTGTGCTTGGGTGTGTTCACGTGTGACAGAGCGTGTGCAGGTTGGAGGATAGCCTCCACTAGCAGTCCTCACTCGGTACCTTGGTTCAGACAGGATCTTTTGTTTGCTGCTGTGTAATCCAGGCTAGATAGCTCTAGAACTTCCCAGAATCCCTCTGGCTTTATCTACTGCCTGGGGATTACAGACAAGGGCTACCATGCCTGTTTTTTATGTGGGTCCTGGAGATTTAAGCTCTTGACCCACTGGGCCATTTTGATAGCCCAAGGACAGTTTTTTAAGGCTTATTTATTATTTTTTTCAGCATGTGAATATTTTATTTGGATGTATGTTTGTATACTATGTGAGCACCTAGTAGCTGAGAAGTCCAGAAGAGAGCACAATGGAACTGGAGTTAGGAGTTAAGAACCCTTGAATGTCAACATGTGGTGCTGGGCCCTTTACAAGGGCTGCAAGTTCTCTGAATCACTCAGCCATCTCTCGAGGACTGAGTGACAACTCTTAAAGGCAAGGTAGCTCCTTGATGTAAACCTGGAAGATACTTTGGGGGGTGGGGCAGGGTTTCCTTGTGTAGCCCAGGCTGTCCTGGAACTTGTTCTGTAGCCCAGGCTGGCCTGTAACTCAGAGAGCTGCCTGCCTCTGCCTCCTGAGTGCTGGGATTAAGGGCATGTGCCACCAGTGGCGCTGGCAGATACTTTAAAGAAAACTCGTTTTTTTTTCCCCCTTCCAATTTCCCTATTCTAGGATATCATCTTATATAAGAGCCAAATTATTAGCATTTATGAGATTAAGGAGAAAAAAAGGCTGGGCATGGTTTTGCATACCTTTAATCCCAGCCCTTGGGAGGCAGAGGCAGGTGGTTCTCTGTGAGTTCAAGGATAGCATGATCTAAAAATCAAGTTCCAGGACAGCCAAGGTTATTCATATGTGCGTGTGTGCGCTCGCGCACATGCAATAGTTTGTATTCAGTTACTTGGCATTATGGAGCTGTGCTTTTCTGTTGCAAGCCAGGTTAGAAACACTGCCATGATGCCACATGACCTGGGCGAACATACTATATTCCACATGCCTTTTCTTTCCATCCAGTGTTTTGGAAACAATGTCAGAAGGCCAGCTTTTACTGTGGCTAAACTGGTTAATGTCCACTTGTTCTTGGGTGTTCTAAAGCACTTTGTGTATACAGGAGTGGCTTCGTTTGTTTTAATTTTCTTTTAGATTTGTTGATTTAATGTGTACGGGTTTTTGTCTGCATGTAAGTCAGTGCACCATGTGCATGCCCGGTGCCCTCGAAGGCCAGAAGAGGGCATCAGAGGCCTGGATAGATGATTGTAAGCTACTATGTGGGTGCTGGGACTTGAACCCAGATCCTTTGGAACAGTAGGCAGTGTCTGAACCACTGAGTCATCTCTTCAGTCTAAGAGTATTTTGATGGGACAAGTGATGAGAGAAAACAGAGTTAACATAGCTCAGGCTGCCCCTGCCCTCACTGAGTAGTTAATTTAGTTGCCTTCAACAAATTCTCATGCTAGTGAGTTTGCAGGTGTGTACAAGCACCCTAGATTTCAGAGACCTGTTAGTCACCTCTAATACTCTGGGCCTGTGATTCCAGGGAACAGCAGAATAGGAAAGGACACACAGCCGCTCTCAGTGTGTCTCAGATGAAAAGGCTGCTTGGTGAAGCCATCTCAGAGGTTAGCACAGCAAGGACAAGAGGGAATGTGCTGAGCTATGTTTCAGACAGGATCTGACTCTGTAGCCGGAAGCAAATCCAGCCTGCTCATGTAGTCACACGGCTCCTGCTTATCTACCCAACCAGTAGCCGAAACTGAAAAACAGCTGACTTCAGTCTTTCCCAGAAGTTGTGGAAAAGGAGAAGTAACTGGGGGAAAAAAAAGGCTATTAGCCAACAGAGTGATCTAAATAATATGTCAGCAAGTTAAGTTCCAGGAAGGATGGGAGTTTTTCATAGAGTCTTGGGCTTGAAATAGCTAAGGAATATGTGACGTGGCCACCTTTGAATGAGAATTCAAAGTTCTAAAAAGGTTACAAATTCAGGAACAGAACTCCCCCCAAAACGGCCTTTAAGAGGAGTACTAGTTGGCCCATCTTCCTCTTATTCTTGTCTCTGGTCACAGTAACAGCTCAAGCTGTTGCCCTAAGTGCAGAGACAAAGCACTGTTCTAAGGATTATCTTACTTAATGCTTATCATTCTGTAGGTATGGGGTAAATTTCTTTTCTTACAAGAGGAGGAAGTTTAAAGGTGGCAAATTCACCTCTGATGGGTCAATAACATTCAGCACAAGGAAGTGGCTGCTCCCCTTGTGTCAAGTGTCCAAGGAGGAGCATAGTCATGTATGATGCATGGTCATGTATGATGCATGGTCATATATAAGTGTATGGTCATGTGTGGTGCAGAGTCATGTATGATGGTGCATGGTTATGTATGGTGGGGCACGGTCATGCATGGCGCATGGTCATGTATGATGCATGGTCATATATAAGTGTATGGTTATGTGTGGTGCATAGTCATATATGGTGGTGCATAGTTATGTATGGTGGGGCATGGTCATGTATGATGCATGGTCATATATAAGTATATGGTCATGTATGGTGCATAGTCATATATGGTGGTGCATGGTTATGTATGGTGGGGCATGGTCATGCATGGTGCGTGGTCATGTATGGGGTACAGCCAAAGAAACAAAACCAAGCTGGGTGGTGATGGTGCGCACCTTTGACCCCAGCACTCGGGAGGCAGAGCAGGGAATCTATGAATTTGAGGCCAGCCTGGTCTACAGAGTTAGTTCTAAGGCAGCAGAAGATACCCAGAGAAACAGTGTCTCAAAATCCTAACAAAACAAACAAACAAACAAACAAATCAAAACCATAATTACTGATTGTTGTGGGGAGGATCAGCCCACTGTGGGCGGTGACATCCCTGGGCAGGTGGTTCTGGAGTGCTACAAGAAAGGCTGAGCAGGCCAGGGGGAATTAAGTCAGTAAACAGTACCCCTCCATGACCTCTGCATCAGCTCCTGTCCTGTTTGAGTTCCTGCCTGACTGCCTTTGATGACGACTGGCGATATGTAGTGTAAGCAAAACCCCAGGTTAGTATTGTAAAATACGCTTACAACATAGAAACATCCAGAACAAGTAGAAGAGAATGTAAAAATTAGAGCTGAATTACATTGGTGGGGAGACTTTAGGGCAGAGAGAGGGTGGACTGAGGAAAACACCTTCTGGGAGGCCTTCTCTTTTAGCTACATAAAGTTGGGGAAATTCCAGATCTCAGGAGTAGATGTAAAAGTAAAACTGCTTTTGGTCATGGCTTCATCACAGCAATATTCTAAGATAACGTGTATGAACATGCTTTGGTTTCTTTGTGGTGTGTGTGTGTGTGTGCTGATGGATGTGTGTAATGTGGACTGGATGTGTTTTTGAGTATACACGTATATACATGTGCAGACCACCCCAGAGGTGCAGCGACTCCTGGAGCTTCTGACCTTTCCAGTGGATGGGAACAGGACCCACTGTGCCCCTGCCCTTCCCTGCCGCCCTGATAGTTACCCATTCTCGGTCATTGGGGTGAGGGTGGCAGCAACAAGACCCCGGAGTTTCTTCTTAGGGAAGGCCATGGAGCTTCTGGAAGGGCTGGAAAACACAGTGTCATTCTCTTTCTTCAAGGAATGTCAATTAATGACCAAACTCCCAGGCCAAAGTTCAACCCCAGGTTAGTATTGTAAAATACGCTGACAACATAGAAACACCCAGAACAAGTAGAAGAGAATGTAAAAATTAGAGCTGAATTACATTGGTGGGGAGACTTTAGGGCAGAGAGAGGGTGGACCTAGGAAAACACCTTCTGGGAGGCCTTCTCTTTTAGCTACATAAAGTTGGGGAAACTCCAGATCTCAAGAGTAGAAGTAAAAGTAAAACCCAGCAGACCCGGGACCAGAGCTGCAACTTCACTCTGGGGCCTCAAACACATGAGAAATTGCTATTACTTAAACTGGAGATAGTCAGAAAGAAGGCCTTTTCTTCTCCATATCTTACGGGGAATCCCAACAAAACCTAGCACTTAAGGGTTGAGTGAATCACATTAACTAGCCAGATGGTGGTGGTGCACGCCTTTAATCCCAGCACTCAAGAGGGAGAGGTAGGTGGATCTCTGTGAGTTTGAGGCTAGACTCCAAAGCTATACAAAGAAACCTTGACCTGAAAAAAAAAAAAGAATATTAACTATCATCCAATTAACCTATGTATCCTCTGATATGCTAAATTTGATTTTTTTTGGTCACTTTTTTAACAGTCATTTATTGTGGATGTGCCTAGGTATATGAGCACACATATACCACAATACATGTGCAGAGGTCAGAGGGCAACTTTGGGAATCCATTCATCCTTTCCCCATGTGGATTTCGGGAATCAAACTCTGGTTGTCAGTCAGGCTTGGCATCAAGCTGCGGATCCTTTGCCTTTTTTTTTTTTTTTTTTTTTTTTTGTAAGCCTTGTTGGCCTCCAATTCACTATGCAGCCGAGGGTGACCTTAAGTTAAACTCCTGCTCTTCCTGTCCCTCTGGGATTACTGGTGTGTGTCACCATACTGTGTCCAGAGTACGACCCCCAGAGAGAGACCACCAGAGAGGCCCAGACTGTAATAAGCAAGATTTAATCAGCATAATACAAACCTGTTTGGAACTCATCTCCATCCCCATTACAATGAGGGAGAGAGAGGAGTTGTATCTCCTCTGTGGGGTAAGCTTTTAAAGGCACAATTATAAAGAGAATCTTTGAAGCTGCTTTGGCATGGGTGCAAGGACTTTTGCTCCCTCCCATTCTGCTAAGTCAGCTTTTTCCTTGTTCTTAGAGCGAGGCCACTGTTCCTGAGTTAGGCCATCTTTATCAGCCTGTACCAAGTGGCTGGCTGGGCTGAGCTAAGTGACCTTGTGCTCGGAATCTCCCGGGTGGGAGAGGGGAAGGCCACTATCTTCCTGGGGAAACATTCCGCTAGGAAATTTCTTCTCGCCCCTTTGAGAATAAGGGGTGAGGGTCCTACAACCATACCTAATCTCGTCTGCAAACTGTGCATTAAAGGCATGTGCCAACACACTTATTTTTGTGGTTCAGGATGAAACCCAGCTTTTTGTGCATGGTCGGCACTTAGCCAATTAAGCCACACGCTCGCTAACACCTGGTTTTCAATTCCTGTCTGGTGATGCGGGAGACTGAACGAGCTCTTCTCATTGCACCTGACGATGCTCTCCGACAGGGACTCACTGGAGTGAGCAACCTCATTTTCATTCATTCATCTGGATCCGGCGGGCCTTCCCATCGGGCAGAGTGAGCCTATCTAGATTAATGCAGACCTGACAGAGGAAATGGGTATCCTGGGAAAGAGCCGGGATCCAGGTAAACCACAATGCATCTGGCACACCTACAATGATGGTAACTCAGGATACCCAGAGTGAGCCGGCCAATCCTAGTCTCTCAAGTTCTTCCCTTTCCTTCCATGAGAGGAGAGAAAAGGTAGCTCTGGAGTCAGACACCAAGGGCCCGCGGCTTGGCGCTACCATTTATGTCTCTATGCTTCTTTATCCTTCTGTAATGAGGATGATAGTAACCATAGTTCATAGGGTAAAATGAACGAACTGACACAACACGCTTGATGTGCTAGGCCCATGGTCATGGAAGCACAGGCTCATTGTTCTCCATGAAGCCCTATCCAGTGGGAACAGTTATCTGGGCTAGTGACTCCTCCAGAGCACTCAGCACTTTTGCTTATTGAGGTTCTGAGTCATTTAATCTCTGCTATCTTCTTACCTGGGGCTTCCTTCCTCTCCCTATCCTTCTCATGACTTATCCCATGCTACTTTTTATCTGGATCCGTGGTCATCGACCTAGGTCCAAGAGGACCTTCACGAGACAAGAACATCACAAAGATAAGAAAGCCAAGCGCTTGAGCCAGCCACCATTGAACATCCTTGATAAAACGGTCTGCTCTGGCTACGTAGACGTTCGTGTTCTTCTGCTTCACACTGCACTTAGTTCACATTTAACAACAACATTCTTTAAGTTCGGATTGGCAAGGCAGCCTTATGTGTCTTTGAGAGCTATTAAATTAGTAACCACTTAGATGCGGTTTGAGTAGTAAAAAACGTGGGGCCTGCGAGAGACAAAAACGAGGGCTGGGAACCACTGAGAAACCCCCAGAACACCCGTATTTCTAATCTTGTCTCTGTCCTATTCAGAAGACGTCAACTTCCTGGCCTGCCTGGTAGGTTTCTTCATGCCTGCAGTGTACCAGCCTACTGCTCGAACCCATTCCTGTGGCTGACACCAGCCTTCCCCTGAGGCTTGTCACCGCTTCACAGCCTGTCTCCCACCTCAACCCTTTCAGTGTAGCCTTATTTTTAAACTCACTTTAAGTCAGGAAATTGCCGTACATCCAAGGACCAGCACCTGGGAGGTGGAGATAGGAGGGTCAGGAGTTCGAATCCATCTGTGGCTACTTAGTGAGTGGAAACCAGCCTGGGTTATGTAAGACCCAGTTTCAAGGGCATAAAAATCAAAACAAAACAAAAATCAGAGGATTCATCCAGGCAGGGTGAATGATCCCAACACTTGGGAGACAGGCAGGAAGATCTGTGAGTTCCAGGTCAGCCAGTGCTACACAACAAAGGGACCTTGTGAAGCGAAAGAAAAAGATACCTTGATCCAAGCTGGAAATTATTTAGCTTCACAACTTCCCCCGAAGAGTTGTTTTTCATTAAAAAAAAAAAAAAACCCACAGAAGCCAGGCATGGAGGTGCACACCTTTAGCCCTAGCACTTGGGAGACAGAGGCAGGTGGATCTCTAAGTTCGAGGCCAGCTTGGTCAACCAAGTAAATTGCAGGACAGCCAGGCTACACAGAGAAACTCTGTCTTGTAAAGCACAAAACAAACAACCTCACAGACTTATAAACCGGATGCACGTTTATTCCTGTTCAAGACTGCAAGTCACCTGAGGCAGGAGGATCAGTCTGAGGTCAGCACGAGACACACAACACTGTCTCAAGGAGACAAAACCCCAGCCGGGTCTAGTTACAGGTGCCATTAATCTCAGCGCTCACAAGGCAGAGGTAAGCAGATCTCTGTGAGTTCAAGGCCAGCCTGGTCTACAGAGAAAGTTTTTAGAACAACCAGGGCTAGAGAGACCCTGTTTCAAGTGCCGCCACCCCCCCATCCCAACAAAACAAAAACAAGCTTTAATAATGAATAATCAGTTCATTATTATTATTATTAATAAAGTTTTTAAAACACAAAAACTTTAAGAACAACTTGGGAATGTTACGCTCTAAAATTCTTTATAGTTTGAATTAAGAGCAAACGATCACAATGTTCTCACAGCCATGACTTAAAGAGAATTTGGACAGTTCTTGTTGAAACAGGGAAGTACCCTGGAATCCTCACAGCCGCATCCACGCCTAGGAACACCAGAGCAGAGAAGCCAGAGCTCTTTTTAAAACCGCACAGTTTAAAAAGGAGCCGGGGGATTTGCTGTACCTCTGAACAAGAATGACTTGAGAAATACTTGGCAAACTAGAAATTTAGATATTGAAAAACACAAAACAAGAAGCTAAAAAAAAAGCAACCTCTCCTAAAACGAGATAGGTATATTAGAGTCAATGGTTAAATTCCCTTCTGTTCAAAGGCTAAATGACCGATTCAGAAGAGGGATTCTGGAGGCCGGGCTACTCCCGGGTCTGCAAAGAATCCCGAGTGTCACTGGCTCCAGGCGGCAGGGACACCCACACAGTCCCTGAGCTCCCCCGTCCAGCGTACTTACCTTTGCTCCTCCGGTTGGCGCCACGCTCACTTTGGCCACCCTGTTGCTCCCGTGCACGGGGGACGCGGTTTCCACTGAGCCAAGCTGTTGCACTTTTCTTTCAGGGGCTGCGGGACCACGTGCGGCCGCGAGGGGAGCCTGGGGGTTGTAGTTCCAGGTCTGGCCCTGGGGCCGCTCTTCCACTGGCTTGAATCCCTAGGCAGGGCACTAGTTGCTCCTCCCTGGGTGTGGCCTGCGCCTGCACCTCGTGAGCACCCACCCTGCTACTCCAGAAGTCCTGAAGTTCCTCCTGTCTGGGAGCTGTAAGAAAAAGTCTTGGTGGCACTGGATGTGAGATTTGAGACGTTGTGTTACGAGCCTGCAAAACGCCACAGCTGCTCAGCCGGCACTTGGCTCTCTCCAAGCTGATGCTGGTGCCCCAACCCGGCACTCTCTCCTAGACAAAAAGGAGAAGTGAGAAGATTTTAAGAGTGGATTATAGGTCGATGGTGGTTGTGCACGATTTTAATCCCTGCCCTGGGAGACAGAGGCAGGCCGATCTCTGGGATCTGCTGCCAAAGTTTACAAGTTCAAGGACAGCCAGGACTACACAGACACCGCAACCAGTCCTCTGGTTGTAAACCCTGTCTCGCAAAAGCAAACAAATGCAAAACAAAACAAGACAAACGAAAAAGAATTATGGGCTGGAGAGATGGCTCAGCGATTAAAAGGGCTTACTGCTCTTGCAGAGGACCAGGGTTCAATCCCCGTCAGGCATACCCAGTTTCCATCTCCAGCACCCTTATGGTGTCTCACAATTGGTTGTTAACTTCAATCTAGGGGTTCAAATGCTTCCTGCATACACTCATCCACAAACAAAATTTTTAAAAAAATGAGTTAGCCATAAACTCAGAGAGGAGGTTTTTTTGCCCTGTTCTTGAGAACAATGAAAAGACCTTTGAAAGGGAAACGTGTTTTTAATCAAAACACCTCAACATCTTTTGTTTCGGGATCATCAAGTGTTTTTTAGAGTCTCCTGAATCCCAATTTGTCCTCGAACTCTGTCTAGGATGTCTTTAAACTCCATGTCCCCCCTACCTTAAACCCTCCCCCAAATAATGAGGTTTCAGGTGCGTGACACTGTGGCTGGGATCAAATCCAGGGCCTCGTGCTTGCTAGGGTGCACACACTGACTGATGGAGCTACATTTCCCCACCCATGCCTGGCTCTTCAAGTCTTTCCAGTACCAGGCTCTGTACTCAGAAACCAAGAACACAGCTGAAAACAAGCCCACAGCTCTTTTGGTGATGTGAATCGATCTCAATTTTCCATGAAAGGCCATGGCTAATACTTATTATTTTATCTAGGGAAAATATATCCATAAGTCCATCTAGTTTGCAAAGGGCTTTTGACTCCATTGTGGTTCTTTGCATGCGTGGGGCTCAAGAGATTATAAATAACCAATAATCAAGCACTTTCTCAAGTGCTTTCTTTGCCTGCACCATTCCGGCTATTTAACAATTTATAAAACAAACCCGTGTGGTGTGCACTTTTTGAAAAAGATTTATTTATTTTATTTGTATGAGTGTTTTGTCTGTGTGCACATCACCCATGTGCCTGGTACCCAAGGAAGTCAGAAGAGGGTACCAGATGTTCTGGAACTGGAGTTACAATTGCTTGTTAGCTACCAGGTGAGTACTGGGACTTGAACCCAGGTCCTCAGATAGAGCAACCGGTCCTCTTAACTGATGAGCCATTTCTCCAGGCCCTGTGCATACTAAATTTCTTTGAGACAATATCTCATTCTATAGCTCTGGCTAGGAATAAAGATGTGTGCTATTCACGAGCCAAGCTCAGGGTGATACTGGATCCTCTAGAAGACTGCTTGGCCCCTCACTGAGTTACATAGCTCCTCCCCCCCCCCCAAGGAAGCCTTGCTTGTAGCCCTGCATTTCAAGTATCCTACGCCCATTGAAGACATTGACTATGAAGAAGGGAAAGTTCTCACCCGTTTAAAGTGCTGGAACCATCCTTACGATGAATGATTTTTCTGGGACAGTCTTTATCTCCGCCCTTTAGAGAAAAATCCAGCTGAGGAAAGGAGACTTACACAAAGAGATTGGATCTTGTGAATGGTGATACATGCCTCTAGTCCCAACCTGAGGATGTGTGGTATAGGAGGTCCTTCTTTCTATGTGTTGCTTGTATTGGTTAATGAATAAAGAAACTGCCTTGGCCTGAAAGGGGCAGAACTTAGGTAGGTGGAGAAGATAGAACTGAATTCTGGGAGGAAGAAAGCAGAGTCAGAGAAGCCATGGATTCTCTGCCTGAGACAGACGCCGGTTAGAATCTTTCCGGGTAAGCCACAGCCACGTGGCGATATACAGATTAACAGAAATGGGTTAAATCAAGATGTGAGAAGTAGCCAATAAGAAACTAGAACTAATGGACCAAGCAGTGATTTAATTAATACAATTCTGTGTGGTTATTTCAGGGCTAAGCTAGTTGGGCAGCCAGAAAGAACAAGCGGGCCCTCTCCCTACAACAGATGTGGAAACAGGAGGATCAAAAGGGTCAAGGATTCTGTCCAAATAACCAAACCAAACCAAAACAGAGGCAGGGCACCTCTACAGCTGAGGGCAGCGTGGTTTGACAGGCTCTAGACCAACTATAACTACACAATAGGACCCATCTTAAAACCAACAGTAACAATAGAGAAAATGTGTGCTATCCCATTTGGATCTATGCATGTTAAAAGTAATTTATCTACTATGAATGAAGAAGAAGAAGAACCATTCCTTTTTATGGCTCAGAAGCTGAGGCTGAAAGAGCTTAAGTAATGTCAAATGGTACAAAAGATGGAGTTGTAATTTAATTTCATGAGTCTGAAAATTTGTGGTCTTTTATTCTCTTCCATTGAAGTCTGAGTGTCAAACCAAAGGCCTTTGTCTTAGTTAGGGTTTCTGTTGCTGTGATGAAACACTATGACCAAAACCGAAAGTTGGGAAAGAAAGGTTTATTTGGCTTACACTTCTGCGTCATTGTTCATCACTGAAGGAAGTCAGGACAGGAACTCAAACAGGGAAGTAACCTGGAAGCAGGAGCTGATGCAGAGGCCGTGCAAAGGTGCACTTCCTGGCTTGCTCACCGTGACTTGCTCAATCTACTCCTCCCACCCCCTGCAAAAGGGTTGGTTTCTCTGTGTAGCTTTGGAGCCTTTTCTGGAACTAGCTCTGTAGACCAGGACTAGTCTCTAACTCACAGAGATCCACCTGCCTCTGATTACTGTGTGCTGGGATTAAAGGCATGCACCACTACCGTCTAGCATCAGCTTACTTTCTTATAGAACCCAGGACCAGCAGCCCGGGGATGGCATCACCCCCAGTGGGTTGGGACCTCCCTCATCAATCACTAATTAAGAAAAATATGTTGATCTTATCAACATATTTCTTCAATTAAGTTTCCTTCCTTTCAGATAACTCTAGTTTGGTGTTAAGTTGACATAAGGTGATTCCTTATGTCATAATGTGGGATTCCCCTCTGTATGCTGTGATTACTATTAATGGATAAAAGAAACTGGCTTGGCCTGATAGGGTAGAACAGAGTTAGGTGGAGAAAACTAAAGTGAATTCTGGGGGGGGGAAGAAGGCAGAAGAAGAGAGAAGCCATGTAGCCCCACTGGAGACAGATGCCGGAATTTTACCCAGTAAGCTACTGCCACGTGGCGGTACACAGATTAATGGAAATGGGTTAAATTAAGATGTAAGAGTTAGCTAATAAGAAGCTAGAACTAGCTTTCTGCCTATTGACGCGGCAGAGGAAGCATCGCTGAGGGCTCCCGTTTCCCAGCCATCATGTCTAAGTCAGAGTCTCCCAAGGAGCCAGAACAGCTGCGGAAGCTCTTCATTGGAGGGCTGAGCTTCGAAACAACCGACGAGAGTCTGAGGACCCATTTTGAGCAATGGGGAACACTCACGGACTGCGTGGTCGTGAGAGATCCAAACACCAAACGATCCAGGGGCTTTGGGTTTGTTACATACGCCACTGTGGAGGAAGTGAATTCCGCTATGAATGCAAGGCCCCATAAGGTGGATGGAAGAGTTGTGGAACCTAAGAGAGCAATGTCAAGAGAGGATTCTCAGAGACCAGGTGCCCACTTAACCGTGAAGAAGATCTTTGTCAGTGGTATTAAAGAAGACACGGAGGAACACCACCTGAGAGACTATTTTGAGCAGTATGGGAAAATTGAAGTGATTGAAATCATGACTGACAGAGGCAGTGGAAAAAAGAGAGGTTTTGCTTTTGTCACCTTTGATGACCATGACTCTGTGGACAAGATTGTTATTCAGAAACACCATACTGTGAACGGGCACAACTGTGAAGTAAGAAAAGCCCTATCCAAGCAGGAGATGGCTAGTGCTTCGTCCAGCCAAAGAGGTCGAAGTGGTTCTGGAAACTTTGGTGGTGGTCGTGGAGGCGGTTTTGGCGGCAATGACAATTTTGGTCGAGGGGGAAACTTCAGTGGTCGTGGTGGCTTCGGTGGCAGCCGTGGTGGTGGTGGATATGGTGGCAGTGGGGATGGCTATAATGGATTTGGTAATGATGGAAGCAATTTCAAAGGTGGTGGAAGCTACAATGATTTTGGCAATTACAACAATCAGTCTTCAAATTTTGGACCAATGAAAGGAGGAAACTTTGGAGGCAGAAGCTCTGGCCCTTATGGTGGTGGAGGCCAGTACTTTGCTAAACCACGAAATCAAGGTGGCTTTGGTGGTTCCAGCAGCAGCAGCAGCAGCTATGGCAGTGGCAGGAGGTTCTAATTACAGCCAGGAAACAAAGCTTAGCAGGAGAGGAGAGCCAGAGAAGTGACAGGGAAGCTACAGGTTACAACAGATTTGTGAACTCAGCCAAGCACAGTGGTGGCAGGGCCTAGCTGCTACAAAGAAGACATGTTTTAGACAATACTCATGTGTATGGGCAAAAAAAACTTGAGGACTGTATTGTGACTAATTGTATAACAGGTTATTTTAGTTTCTGTTCTGTGGAAAGTGTAAAGCATTCCAACAAAGGGTTTTACTGTAGACC